TGTTTATCTTAAAACTCAAATTTCTTGGTTCTTTGCTCTTGGTGTAAATCAAATACATTTGTAGAGTCGTTTAAATATGTTGGATTTTAAATATACTGGATTTTAAACTGTCATACAATTTTTTTCATCGATAGTCTGTAATTTGAACCATAACTCTTATTTATTCAAATTGTATTAATATGTAAAGACCAGGTGTAACCTATATCATCGTTAAATCTTATCTTATAAACCAGTAAAACTTCAAAATCGTTAAAATTCATGGCTCCCGCCGCATTGCGCGGGTACAGAACTAGTCGTACTATGATTCAAATCAATAACTTAACAATTGAGTTGGATTTTTATAAGATAATATCATATTGTAAGTTTGAAAAATAAAGTATAATATCGTATTAATTTTTTGAAAATATGTTATTATATATTTCTTGTAGTTAGTCCAAACAAATACAAAGCTACTTATATTTAAGTTATGTTCTATCATTATAATTTAATTCAACACCTTAATGATTGAGTCGACTTTTTATAATAATAATAATAATGTTATCATAAAAAATAATTTGAAATTATAATATTATAATTAACAAGAACTAAAAGTATAATACTATGATAAAAATTTTAAAAATGCATTATTATTTCTTAAAAAATAATGACTTATATATTTAAAGTGTTCCACGACACCAACTAATAACAAAAGAAATTATGCGTGTTTAAATTGAACAAAATAGTAAAATAAAATTAAAAATGTTTCTCAAATTAAGATTTCATTATCGTTTTCGTTTATAAATATAACTTATGTTGTCCTATATATGGTATTCTTGATCTGTTATTTGTCCACCAACCTCTTCTTCATGAAGCACCAATCTTTTGCATATATATTTGGGGTGACATTCATGCATCTTTCAAATAATTATTTGCAGCATTTCAAATGAGTAATCATATTAGATTTTGTTATTTCAGTTGTACTAGATACGCATACAAATTCAAAAACCTTTATCAAACATAAGAGTTTCGTTTTTGTTTTTATAATTAAAATGTTTATGTGTTTATTTTATTGTACATCAATCATATTAAAGGATAAAAAAGATGGAAATAATTTAATTTGTTCTATCAATATTTTAACCATTTTGATAAGGGAAAAAGGTATGTTAAGTGATTCAATGAATAATGCAAGTAAAATATTGCTAAAGCATGTATATTGTGGTGGTATTGATGAATTAGAATATAAAATTGAAAGAAGGGAGATATGTACGGAATCACTATGGAAATAACAAAGGTTATTTTATCCATACATATCCCTTCTTATGCGTTTTATATTTCATTTTTCATTTTTTTTATGTTTATTTTTTTACGTTAGATTATTTTGTTTTTCTATTCTGTTTTACCCTTTTAATATTTATTGTTTGAGCAAAATACATATGGTTTGCTGATAATTTATATTTTTGGCTATTTATTATTGGACATATGATTTCCATCCACATGATTTATACTTTTATTGTTGTTTCATCTTTATAATTTACAATTTATTATTGTTTTTGTCCATGTGATTTACAATTCTTCATTGTTTTCATCTCTCATACTTAAAGATAAAGTTAACCTTAAGAACAAAAATAACAATAAATTATAAACTGTAAAGATTATAATTTTCAAAACTATAGGTACAAAAATCACATTTTTTCACAAACCACGTGGACTAAAAACTAAAAAAGTACTTTACTTTTATTGTTTATTTTTTTCCCTTTCATTTTACATGCTTTTATACAGTTTTAAATACAGCGTGGGAGAAGACCTTGAAGGAGACCAGGTGGAAACACCCCAACGTAGGGGTGAGCATAGACGGGTACCCGCTTTTTTTATAGGAACCGGAACCGGAACCGGTGTTTCTTGAAATATTGGAACCGGAACCGGTTAGAGTGGTTCTTGAATTTTTGGAACCGGAACCGCCGGGAACCGGTTCCGGTTCCGAGTACCCGCTTCCTAAAATACTTTTCTATCATGTATTTTTTTGTTTCAATATCAATATTGCATAATTTAAATTTTATACTATTTAGTTTTGGGTGTGCAAAAATGGCACCACCCGTGGTTCACTTTTGAGATTGCACCATTCCCTTTACTGAGTCCTGTGGCAACTATGGGTTTAGGGGAAATAAGAGGAACCACATGAAGATTGAAACCAAGCTTGGTCATGCAGTAAATCAATTCGAAAGACCTAAATTCATTTTGGGTGCAATTAGATGCCACATTTGATCATTACCATAAAGCCCTACCTCATTAATTTATTTATCTTAGTTTGTTACTGAAATTGTTATTTGTGCGCACAGCTTCTTCATTGAAAATTTTTAAGTACTACTTTACCAAGACTGTAGTAATTCATAGGCATGACGATTGTACTTTTAGAATCCCACATGTTACAACTAGTTGGTGACCTCAAAAACACCTTCAGCAAAACTCAGTTAAACACCAAGATTCTTTGTACATTAAGAACAAGTTAGCTTCACAAAACAAATAACAGGATCCACAATATGAATCTTGGTTCTATCCTTCTGGAGATGAGATCTTCCTAACCAAGCAATCATCATAGGTCACTTAAACAAATGATTTAAAAGTCATGAAACTTCCTAACCAGGCAATCATTATATATATAAAACTATCCCATATTTGCAAGAAATGAAATATAAAATTACCCCAGATTTGGAAAAAATATAATGTTAACTAGATTTAGAAAAAAAATATAATGTAAAGTGTGTTAAATTACCTGATTAGTGTATGAAGACCGGCGTAACTTCTTCGGGTACCGACGTGCTTTCGATGGAGGGAAGGAGGGGAGAATCAGAGATATCGTATGTAACCCGGGACAACTCGTAACTCGTATGGAATCGGACAGGTCGGCGACCGGTTCTTCGTGTATGGCGAGTGGCAACCGGCGTTCTTCGTGTAGGGGAGAATCTGATGAAGAAATGAAGAGTGAAGATGTTGAATTGTTGATTGTCAATGAGTCATCTGATGAAGAAATGGAGAGTGAAGAAGTCAAGAAGATGAATGGAGTTTAGTAGTTTACATTGACGGCGATAAGAATAAGAAGTAAACCTAATTTCATAAAAAAATATCAAAAATAATAATTAATTTTTTATTGAAAATTACCGGGTACCCGCCGGTTTCGGTTCTGGGTACCCGCCGGTTCCGGGTACCCGGTCCCGGCGGTTAACGGTTCCGAAAAATTGAGAACCGGAACCGGAACCGTTCTCAATCGGTTCCCTATTTTAGGAACCGGAATCGGAACCACTCATATCGGTTCCGGTTCTAGAACCGACGGTTCCAAGGCGGTTCTGGTTCCGCAAGCGGGTACCCGGTTCCGCTGCTCACCCCTACCCCAACGCACCATGGGGATAACAAAGGTTGTAGCGTCGAAAGTAGGTGCAGGAGCAGGGCATCTGCAGCGGAGAAGGAGATGGCTGAGAAAACCATCATCATCACCACCATTATTGCGAAAATCTTCATCATCTTCATTGTCTCCATGAATGAGCTCTGCGAGTGCAGAGAATGGGGAACAGAAGGGAAGTTTTGGTAGCTAGGTTCTCCTGTTTGAAAGAGGAGTTGGAAGAAAGGTGGAAAGAAAGACGTTGGGCATTGGGGGGGGGGGTTTAGAAATGTGAAGGGGCAGATTTGGAATAAAGGTTTAAATAGTGGCTGAGTCCATAGGACTCCATTATTTTGGCGGACCGGTTAAGCCATCAGCTGACCGAATAAGCCATAAACGAACAACAATATATGGCTGACTGAATAAACCATACAGACTTAATAGTCCATTAAACCATTACCGAACAACCTCTTAGACTTTTTTGATCTTTTTTGACTTACCATTTTGTATTGTATACTTTTTATTATATTAATCAATACATATTAATTATAATAATAATAATTATTATTGTTATCTGGAATTTATATAATCAAAAAAAATTCCTTGATACATTAAAAATAAGACCAATACTATTATTATTTTACTAAACTTGTACTATTTTTTAAAATTAGTGATTATTTAATATTTTATAATATAAAAGACGCTATTACATAGGGATTTGGGAGTAATATTATAATATTGTTAATTATTTAAGTCAATATATTTATGAGTATAATTACAATTTATATGTTATTTATACATATTTTAATCAATATTAATATCGGTAGTTTATGTACTTGTATTGGGAAATCCTAGAGATTTCAATTATGGCATAGTTGTTGGCATTTGATACTTTCATGTAAATATTATTTTTGTGTAACAATTACACATAATGCTCCCAATTGTAATTACCACCTACATTCTTTGAGTGAGTGATGATGGTTGTAGATTTGTGTCTGAAACGATAAGTACATCGCTTTGAAGGGACTGGTTTATGATATCATGTTTAGTTTAAAAAATATTAGATATTGTGTTCATTTTGAATGTTGGACTTTGTGCTATGCAGATGATTCAGCAAAGTACAAGTCTTTTATGCTTTCAACAATAAAGACCTATTCTGGAGGGCCACGTCTACTTTTAGATAGGCTTTGATTTCTTCTTTGTTTATTCCTATTTTTTAGCCTTTTTATTTGTAGCTTTCTCTCTCTGTTTTGGCTATAAAAGCCTGTAGTTGCTGCTGATTCGAATAAGAGAAAATATTGTTGGCTTCTCTATAAGTTCGTTGTGTTCATATTTGTTTCCTGTTTAAGTAATACTACTCTTCANTTTGTTTATTCCTATTTTTTAGCCTTTTTATTTGTAGCTTTCTCTCTCTGTTTTGGCTATAAAAGCCTGTAGTTGCTGCTGATTCGAATAAGAGAAAATATTGTTGGCTTCTCTATAAGTTCGTTGTGTTCATATTTGTTTCCTGTTTAAGTAATACTACTCTTCATTGAATATGTAGATAAGACCATTACAATGGTTTAATTTGTAGGAAAACATGTATCTTTTTTATTGTATTTAGTTAATATATTGTTATGTGTATCAATAAGATAAAAATATAAAATAAAAATGCAAAATGAGGGGATGTAAAACTAATATGTTAAATAATTATAAGAATATAAAGTGCAAGTAAAAAACTAATGAAGTTTAATAAATTAATGAACTTAAAAATAATGACATACTTTAAAAAAAATACATTTTTAATGTATTTTAGTTAATATATAATTATAGTTAAAAACAATAAATATCTAAATATAAAGATAATGACCTCTGAATGGTTGGATTGGATGAGATGTTTTGGAATAGAAGCAAGGAACATATTTATTATACCAGTAAAAAAGGGGGGAAATGTGAATCTTCAATTCTCATACCATATAGAAGTAAGAATGTGATTGAGTGAAAAAACTTAATTATATTATTACTAATAGGTGTGTATATATATATCGAGAGAATTATAACATACAATTATAAATCGTAATCTACAAAACTAAAACGTAATTCAGAATCATATAATCATGAGTGAATATTTAATTAATATAAAATTGATTATGAATATCTTTTATCACTAAAATAAAAAAAAGATGATAAACAAATTAGCTAAAGGAATAAAATGTGAAATAATAATAATAATAATAATAATAATAATAATAATAATAATAATAATAATGGAAATGCAGTTGGATAGGATGAGAAGGCAAAGGCAAAGCAGCCACACAATTCTCCGACTCACGTCTCACCTCTCACCTCTCGTTGCTCTTACACGTCATTTTATTCGGATAGTTGTACGTTATTAGCTGATCCCCCCCCAACTGAAACTCTGAAGTTTGATATCACAATGCAGCCCGTTTGCTCTACCATTCCCAACTCTTATTCTAATTCCCAGGTTTGATTTATGATTCTTCTTCTCAATTCATCTTATCAGTCACTTTTTTTTTGATTCTTTTCTTGGTCTTTCTGTTTGAATTTGTTTTAGTCTATGGATATGAAATTGTGAATCTACTATTGCAGGTTTGTGTATATGGAGGAGGGTGCAGACACTTTTCCTTGCCTCACAAGGCATTCACAATTAAATACATCATGGCAAATGATGCTATTTCGAGGTTATCAAATAAACTTCATCCTCAAGGACTTCCCTTCAAGACCCAAGCAGCTACTTATTTTGTCCAAAGAGATGAGCAATTAAACTCCCTTAGATTGGCAGATCAATTCGTCGAAGAAACTAGGTCATTGCCAAGGCCTTTTTATCTCAGAAACACAGTTATTGCAACCAATCTTCCAAATGATCCCGCATCTGCATCTGATTCCCTCAAACCAGATCTATATTCAGAGTACCTTTCAAAAACAGATACAGAGGACGTTTTTGCTGGAATTAATGAATCCCTTAGTGCTCTGGTGTGTAACACAGACATTGCTATTACCAATACACTCAAAACAATCACATCTTCAGTAGACCTTGCTTCCAAGGGTGTTAATGATGCAATTGATATTTCTTTTAATAACCTGAAGCTCTCTTTTAGTACTACATTGTCAGGGTTATCCAATAACTCTAAGGGAGTCTCAAGTAAAGCAGCGGTTATAGCTGTTGATGGGTTAAGACATGCCATCATTTCAGTTGAGGAGTTGCTAACACTGTGGACTACTTTTGTGGTCTATGTTTATGCATCCGCCAAGGATATGCTCCCTCCAGAGCTCCACAATGTACTAAATTCTTCAGAAGAGAGGGTATTTAATGTCTTGAGGCCTTTTGGGGCAGCTTTTCAACAGGTATCACCAATGTATGTTTGTGCATTTATTCAATCTTTGGTTAGCAATCCCTAATCCCAATGTATTGTAAGCAGGTTTATACTGTCTTAGAGGGATTTGAGACAAGTCTTGGCATAAATCCCAGCGATCCCGTTGTCCCTTTTGTACTTTTTCTTGGAACATCAACTATTTTATGGTATGAAAGTCCTTCCTTTTATCTTTCTCAACAGTACTTTGAAACTGGGTGATGCTCTGATGGAAGCTTACGTATTCTCAGATCCGTACAGGATTTCTTACTGGATATTGACCTATGCTGGATATGCCGGGGACCTGTCCCCAAAGTTAACTTTGGAGCTACTGAATGGGAAAGAAAGTGTTGCCCTAATTGATGTCCGGCCTGAGGCAAGAGACTGTAAATTTTTCTAGCCTTTTCTTTCTAGATGTTTTTCTATTAAAAGTTATCATCTCTATAAGTTTGGCTCAAATATCCTATCGGGATATGTTACCCATGTGAAGGATTTCAGAGAAAGAGATGGAATTCCTGATCTCCGAAGGACAGCTCGATTTCGATATGCTAGTGTGGCATTTCCTGAGGTTGGTCAATGCTATCGGTTACTGGCTCCATTATCATTGAAGCACTTGGAGTTTTTGTTTGTCGTGTTTCCATATCATATTTCGTTTTGCCATTAATATGCATTATCATTTTTCCCAACTCCATTTAACATTTCGTTGATGTGGAACTTCAGGTTGATGCGAATGTAAAAAAGTTACTGAAGGGTGGGAAAGATCTTGATGATGCCTTGATTGCCGCTGTCATTCGGAGCTTAAAAGTTGTTCGAGTATGTAACATTACCTGTTTTTTATTCCTTTACTTTTTTTAATTGTTATCGCCATCTTTTTGTTTCTTCCTTCCTTGGCTGTGTGGGAGTTAGGTACAAGCTAATTGGAGTTCGGATTCAAATTTCATGTGCTTTCTCAATTGGAGTTCGGATTCAAATTTCATGTGCTTTCTCCTAGGGCCAGCAGTATTTTGCATAGAACATGTGGAAATAGGTTCCTTGTTCTATTACAAAATACAAACCTCTTCATTAGAATACTCTCAATGCTTTTTGTATGTTCTACTAAGATGTGACGACAATTAAACGGTCACTCATAAGCACCAATAAACATACCATGTGAAATAGTTTTGATGGCAAGTCATGCCCTTTAGATTGATGAAATAATTCCTGTTATTAGACTTGATGTGGACGATTGTCTATCTTGTATATGAAGCTGACATGGAAGTACATTCTAATTGTATGAGTTTAGAGAAACAATGTTTAGTTTTAGAAAGTTGCGACTGAGTAGTGCTTGTCGGATTGAGAGACAATGTCTAAGAATAACTTCAATTTTTGGATAACCGAAGATTAACTTGTTTACTCTATCTATAGGAAGGGTCCAAGGTTATAGTAATGGATGTTGATGGCAGTCGCTCTAAGGGAATCGCAAGATCACTGAGGAAAGTTGGTATTAAGGCAAGTATTTATAATATTGTCATTGTGTTACATATGGAACAGGATACTGAAATCTTGTAAGGGTTGAAGTTGATGGATGAAATTGTGATAGATTTATGTTAACATACTCGTGCCATCATGATACCCCTCTAATTGTTGATGGCATATTTATGCTTTATGACAACCTTCAAGTTACCAGTATTTTACAGAAGGTCGCACATCAGTGCAAACAAAGAGCTACATTCAGGCATGGTCAATTACACTCGTTAATAAATTGAGTTTCTGAAAGCAATGGCCATTCTCATGGTAGTTTACGGAAGCTTCACTTAAAGCGGTACTTGACAATTTTACATACTGGCTCTCAAGATCATGTGTTTGAGACAACCGCAACTGTCGTAAATATCTAAATTAGATCCCATTTTCAGCATTGATTATATGACTGGGATTGTGATCTTCATTGCACTTCACTTAAAAATATTCACATTTGTGCTTTCAATATTGCCAACTGTGAATGCATCGGTTAGGTTGAATAATAATTATTTGAAGCTGTTTACACTATTCATTTTGCAGTTTTACTAACACTAGTAGGGTCACTTGCATGACATTCTTTTCAGTGATTTAAATACGGTGTCTAATAATCAATACTAATAAAGAGTTCACTTTTGGAAAGGGCAGAGACCATACTTGCTCCAAGGTGGCTTCCGCTCTTGGGTTCTAGAGGGTTTGCGTATTAAAGAGCCAAAGCCTGAGACAACACTTACCATACTCAATGAGGTATTTTGTCTTTTCTCTGGTCATACATGAAGTTTGAAGCTCCTATTCACGATATACATGGCTTATGTTGTTTTCTTCATTTATCATTATCAAATCCTTAGGTGTCTTCATACCAAATTCTTTGTTTTTTATATCATACTAAGACGTCAAGAGATAATTATAACAAAGACATTAGTGTGCCACAAACATTTAAGGACCATTTAGACTATTATTGCTTCAGCATGCCATGTGACTCGACTAGTTCTTGAATATATGTGATTAGGGAAATGGCTTAAATATATCATAGGCATCACGGTTTGCAAATATAAACTAGTCTGAATTGCTCAATATTTGTTAATCCAAGTTTGCTTAACGACAGGAAGCTGAGGCTATTCTAGAGGGTACCACTCCCCTGCAAGTTATCGGGTATGGCGTGGTAAGACTATTTTAAACTTTGATGGTTATGTTTATTCGATATGTAGATGATCCACTTGTTTTTAGAGTAGGAAATATGCTTGACCTCTATATCTTACTGTTCAATTGAAACACATCATGTGTGGAGTTTGTTAAAATAATTATGAATTTAAAATACTCGTTAGAGTCCAAACATTCATCTAAAAGAGGCATAATCATCATAACGTAAACTTTCTATGTTATTCCAAAGGCACGTGGAGAGATGATACCTATAATCTGTCACTTTTCATATCATGGAAATGGCAGCACTTCTGGTCTAATTCATGTGATTGCTTTGTCTACAGGGTTTTCTGGCAGCTACTTATTCGTTGTTAGGTTTGTATCTTTTCCACATCCTGCATTTAATAATAGAGGTAGGAGATATAAGAACACCTTGCCACGAATGGACACAAGTTCAGTGGAAGTTAAAACAAATAATTTCTAAATCTTTCTGTGAAGGCATTCATCAGACTAGATATATGTTAAAAAAGAACTTACTGATTCTTTCATTCGACGTGCTTGTCCCTTTTCTCCCTTTTGTTATTCCCTTCTAAAATGTTTTCAAGGCTGATAGACCTGCATTGTTAGTGATTATATAACAACCTAGTCACATATCTACTTTTTTTTTACCAGAATGGGAGAAGACATTGCAACTAATTGCTGTTATTGGTCTTGGTCAGGTACTTTTTCCTTATATTACTGTTCAGGACAAAAATAAACTTATTTTGTCCTAAGGAAAGGACAAAGCTTCTCATCGAAGTTCAACTCAAAATCACCCTTCATTTTATTCTTTTAGGTTCTTGGAGCAACAAAGAGAGAGAGAGAGAGAGAGAGAGAGAGAGAGAGAGAGATACACACACTCTGAGAGTAATATTAGCAAATATGCTAAAACTGCAGCACTGACCATTAACGACATAATTTTGCAACACCAGATGAACATGATAAGTTCCAAATATCAGATGCTAAGTTTAACTCATAATTACATTTAGAGATAGAAAGAATACATCTCATGCCAAGTAAAAGCCTTCAACAAGCTTATTAATAGGAATTTGAGCTAGGATTTTGTAGTGTATTTTATATTATGATGGATGCTTTCCTAATTAAAGATTATACAACACCTCACACTTGTACAATATTTTGGACCTTAAAATTTAATGGTCTTTAACGTTATAAGTTGATGTATGAAACTTAGGAGTGAAAAGGAACATATGCCATTATTAGATCTCATTTTAGCTACAACAGGGACCGATGATGTGTATAAGATTGCAATGGGGACAGATGATGTGTATAGGACCGCAGAAGTTGTTAAACTGTTTGGTGGACTGATGACCATCTCTTTTTAGTTAGTTTAGCTGTTCAAAACCTTCCGGTATGCATTTATTTATTTTTTGTTTTTTTTTTGGTTTTTTGTTCTTGTTACCTTTTCGTTTATCCTTCCTTGCTTTACAAGTAAAGCTTACTATTTATTTTCACATAATCGTTTTCTCAAAACCTTTTTACAAGTTGGGGTTTTCATGGAAATAAGCTCTTTACTCCTCGGGGTGGAGTAAGATCTGCGTACATCATACCCAACCCAGACCCTACTTAATGTGGGTATTACTGGGTTTGTTTGGTTTGGTTTGGGTTGGGTTGGTTCATTTTAGCCACAATATGATTACACATATGTAGGATTACATTTCACTGAAAGCTGTTAAGAATCTCTCACCTTAGTATTCTTATATATTATAACTAACATTGCACATAAAGATGTCACTCTTCGTTGTTCATCCATGCTTATGAAATCCATAGATTATAGGGAACTGTGTTATTAACTTTTTTCATGTAAGATTGGCTTTTCTGCATAGAAATGATACTCCCTTCATCCCAGAAATTGGTTTACCTTTTATTTTAGATATTCAACCCCATGCACTTTTCAAAATTGGTTTAGAATTTTCTTCTTTTATATTGGCCGGCATGTTTCTATTTTAAGACTACTTATGTAATTAATATTTCTTTGACATAAATAAAACATTTTCCTATCGATTTTGAAGTTCACAAATAACTCATTTGGTGCTCAAAAGTCGAATACTATTTTTTTTGTTGGGATGTAGTGCTATGTTGTGGTACTGGTAGGCAATTTATGTAAAATACTGTTTTTCAGTTTCTTTGACATCAATTTCAATTGAACCATTTCTTTTCATCAACACCAGACTATATATCGACGAGTTGCTTCTTACAAGGACTCCAAAGATTTCAACAGAGATGTGAGGTAACTCTAGATTCCTATGCTAATTATAAATTTACGAGTAGATTACATTTTTAGTCGTTGTGGTTTGTTGAAGATTTCTATTTTCGTCCTTATGACTTTGAAATTACGATTTTTATCCCTATGGTTTATAATTCATTAATTTTTTCGTCCTTATGATTTAAAATTTATTGCTTTTTTCGTCCCTGTGGTTTAAAATTCATTCCTATTTTAGTCCTTTATACTCAAAAGTAGTGTTTTGGCATCAGGGTCGAAAATAGAAATAAATTGCAAACCATAGAGACGAAAACCGAAATTTCAAAACTACAGGGACAAAATCCCTAATCTTTAACAAAACTAAAGGAACAAAAACGTAATTTACTCTAAATTTAAACTCGATCAAGACAAGTTTTTTTTGCTCTCTGCATTATTTAGCATTTTACATTCCCTAAGGTATTATAATTCTTTTATCTACACTTAATAATGATGAAACATTGATCCCTTGAAGACAACTTCTTGGCCCTGTTAAGCTGGGAGGTGAGGCAATTGCGTGGGCTGCTGGGAAGTTGGAAACCAATCGCAATGGTTTACCGACTTCACCTTCCTCAGTAAATATCCAGAACAGGGTATTGCAAGCTGCTGCGAAACACGAATCTCAGCCACCTGAGAGCGAAGAACCACAAGATACATTATCCCGTTCAACAACTCAGAACCCAGATCTCTCTGAAGCATAGATGCTATGATTTTCATCCAAATTATAAGCGCTCTAAAGTTTGACTGAATTATATGGTGGGTAATTGGTGTCTTGAGAAAAGCAGGTTCCTAAAGTTAGTTGTTGTAATACGACTATATATACTGCACAATCATTGATATATATATATATATATATTATATGTATATATAGCAACATAATGTGGGAGATTTTAGTTTCCTTGTACCAACTAGTTAGTTCTATGAGTCGGTGAAAGGGCCATTTATGAGCCAATTATATGTGCATGTTATAGTTCCATGATGTGGAAGATTTCTGTTTCCATATGAAATTCTGAGCCGGTTTAAAACTAGCACTTGGCAAGTAGAGTCAATATGGGCTACTCGTACTGTTTGTTTGTTACTTATGTTTGACAATTAAGCAAAGTTTTTTTAGAAATAAAATGATATAGTTTGTTATTTTTGTTTGACATGTAGATCATAATAATATATTGTTTATAGGATTTTTAAAAGAAAACTTACTAGTTCTTCTCAAGACTTGTTGGTTTTGTTTATCGAAAAGAGAAATTAATGTAAAGATTATTTTGAGATAAATTGTACAAGACTTCAAAATCACAACATGTATGAATATTTCGTTTTTTTTTTCTTTTGAGTTTTGATGTGTAAAATTTTTGGATTGTGTGTCTCTTGTTCTTTTTAAAACATTATAACAAATCTTATTACATGGAAACAAATTTGACTCATGTGATAAAATAGTATAAGAGATCAGATTCTCTTCCCCAATTTCTTTTTTCATTATCGGTTATCTTAATGGATAAAATAGCTGTTCATTTGAAATAAATAGGGTAACAAAATCACTGATTCATATCATACCCTATTTTGTCGCTACTTGTTGGCTGTTGCATTAAAAAAGGGTTGTATTTGCAGGAAACTAGAAAGGGCCCAATGCGAGTTAAATTGGGTTTCGCTAGAACGGCCCAATCATACACCACCGCACCCATCTCCCTTTGGATCTTTTCCCTGTGCTGTGCTGCAGTGCCTGTGCTTGCTTCTTTACCTTCCTCCCGTCGTGGCCGCCAGCAGAGAGTCTATCATTAAGGTATGTTTTCCCATAACTACGATTATCAGCTTCTCTTACTTTTTGTGTTTGTTAATCTGTCGGAAGGGGTTGCCTGTGCTTTTGTACATCTGGAAATTTTCCGATGCAAATGTGAAATAGTTTCTTAACAAACAGATGGAAGCTCGAATCTAACAGTTTATTGTTGGAAACCCTGGATATATTCTCAACCATCAGTCTCGTTGTCAAAATTCCATTTTCTCTCGACTTTTAAAACCGACGATATTTTCCGTTTTTCATCGATCTGCTTTTTTTCAAACATCAGCTTCTCCCTGGAACACGTGTTTATCTTTCTATCTTTTCATCATATTATTCCAAGTTTCCAACGGGGATTTCTGCTATTAAGTTGATTTTTTCTTAACAATAGGTTTTCCTTAACTTGAAAATTGTTAATTTGGGTTGTGGGAGTGTGCTGTAGTAAAATTCTTGGCTTGTTAAGGGAAAAACAATGATTGGTCAAGTTCTGCCTACGCTGTGAATCCTTACTGTACCAAAATACTGTTAGAAAAGTGGGCATAAGCTCCTACTTCTGGTTTTGATCATACAAATTGATTTTCAATTCACACAACAATCATAACCCTGATTCCAGCAGTTGATATAGTATCACTTTTTTACCCACTGCAAACGATTGCTTTCCAGCCTAACCTCTTCTTGATTCCTAATTGCTATAAAGACAACCATCTTATTCCTACTCCCAGTTGCTTCACCACTGCTTATCATCTACCAACATCCCAAGGATACAGTATTACCACATCTAAATTGATAATATGTGCCTTGATCTCACCTATTATGACCAAAGGGGGGGGGGGTATGTGGCAGGAGGAAGATTGTTTAGGACAATATATGGGTGACTGCAATAGTGTGATTTATAACCATATCTAAATTGTTGGAGAGTGAAGATCTGAATAGATCAATTGCGTGAGGAAGAGTATTGTCGTAGAATTGCTAGTGGGAAATGGGGATTTTAATTAGAAATAGTAAGATGACAGTTAATTCTTACACTCTTTTCATAGTATTGAGGAGATCTCTTATTAAATTTGTACATTCTATATCGATATATCACATGCAGCATCAATAGTTCTTGTTTGGCTAAATCCAGCACCACTTTGGGTTTTGCTGTGCTTATACGAACCATGCCCCTTTGTAGATGGATTCTCAGGATGTGTTTTAGGTAATTGTCACATAGCACCATTTCACCCTGATAAACCATTCTCCCCATATCTATGATCTATGTGTAATATTTGATGCTCCATGTTGGAATATTCATCTAAATAGCTTGGAAGTTCATGGTTAAGCATATGGTAGCTTCATTCTTTTAGAGTCATTTAGTGTTCAGTTTTCTTCATTGTAAGTCAGTTTGATGATCATATCTTGAGTTCTTTTTCCCAGGAAGAAAGGCAGTAAACGTGTTATCTATCATCAAACTAGTGAAAATGCAAGCAGGTGAAGGTACCCCGTCTGTTATGGGGTCACGACCAATGGAATCATCTATCATTCCATATAGTGGTCACCAGAATATGAGTAAACAAAGAACATCAAGTTTATTGTCACCAATCATGTTGCTGACTGGTCATCAGAGTGCGGTGTATACCATGAAGTTCAATCCAGCAGGAACAATGATTGCTTCTGGGTCTCATGACAGAGAAATATTTGTTTGGCACGTAAGTGGTGAATGCAAGAACTTCATGGTTCTGAAAGGGCACAAGAATGCTGTGTTGGATCTGGAGTGGACTAGTGATGGGTCACAGATAATCTCAGCCAGTCCAGACAAGACACTGAGGGCATGGGATGTAGAGACAGGGAAGCAGATAAAGAAGATGGCAGAACACTCGTCTTTTGTAAACTCATGCTGTCCTTCTCGGAGGGGTCCTCCTCTTGTTGTGAGTGGATCAGATGATGGGACTGCTAAGCTGTGGGATATGCGTCAAAGGGGTGCTATCCARACGTTTCCAGATAAATATCWGGTCAYARCTGTTGGCTTTTCTGATGCTTCAGACAAGATATACAGTGGTGGAATTGACAATGATGTCAAAGTGTGGGATCTTAGGAGAAATGAGGTTACCATGACTCTTCAAGGTCATCAGAATATGATAACTGGTATGCAACTGAGCCCTGATGGGTCTTACCTCCTTACCAATGGGATGGACTGTACGCTTCGTATATGGGATATGCGTCCATATGCACCCCAGAATCGTTGTGTGAAGATAATGGAGGGACACCAGCATAATGTTGAGCAGAACCTGCTCAAGTGCGGGTGGTCACCTGATGGGAGCAAAGTTACTGCTGGTAGTTCTGATAGGATGGTATATATTTGGGATACTACTTCAAGACGCATATTGTATAAGCTTCCTGGGCACTCTGGATCAGTTAATGAATGTGTTTTCCATCCCTCTCAACCTATTATAGGATCTTGCAGCAGCGATAAACAGATATATCTTGGGGAGATCTGAAGTTTGTTTGTTATTCAATAACATATTGTATTATTATACTTGTCGGCAGAAATTAATCTAGATCTTTTGGATGTTTGTGAATGCTGCTTTGTTTTTGGTTTTTGAAGATTGGATCAACTATTGACAGTGTTAAATTCAGTTGCATATTATTGTTGCAAAGAAGAATCGTGGAAATCTTTAGACAAGCTTTCCATTGCTTAGTTTGATACTCCATCTGTCATAGTGCCCTATTATAAATGTGGTTGTCAATTTATTTATGTATTGCAAGGCAAGGCATATACATATATACACACACACATATGGTTGCGGTTGCGGTTGCAGTGAAAAATACTATATACCATCTAATCTAATCTACTCTTCAACTCAACACCAAGTTCAATCTTGTATATTAACTTATTCTAATCCAACACCATTTTAGTTTTTCTTTTTTGTATCGTTTTGGTGGTGAAGTGAATTTTAATTTCAAAATAGTGATTCAAGTTTGATGTTTAAGTAATTTTAATTTCATTTATTTGATTGGTGAAAAATAAAACAGAAACCTAAAATTTTTATACGTATAATAATAGAATTTAGAATATGAAAAATAACAGCTAGGTTGAAGATGATTAGGCTAATTAAAAATAACAGCTAGGTTGAAGATGATTAGGCTAATTAAAAGGGTAAAAATCGTTTTAATATGCTTTCGAGTTTCAACCAAAAAGTAATAGGAAGAAAAGGAAAAATAATAGCCGTTGCACAATTAAAATAAATAGCCGTTACAGATGAAACGGTCATCTTATATATATATATATATACCAGAAAAACATGGATCTATCCATTCACATCTCTCCTTGCTTTACTGTATTCATCTTGAGGTCGATCCTGAGAAAGAAGAGAAGAGAAGAGAAGAGAAGAGAAGATAAAAGAAATGGGTTTTTCCCACTACAAGACCCATAAATTGTTTCTGTTGTGCAATTACGTGTTGCTGGGTGCAGCCTCTAGTTGCATCTTCCTCACTCTCTCCCTCCGTTTGTTTCCATCGTTGGCAGGAAGTTCTCTCATCCTACTTCACATCATCACCATTGCAGGAGCCATTGCAGGCTGCAACGCTACCAAGTGGAAGTGGTATGCCGCTCACATGGTGGCCACTGTCTTGACTGCTATATTTCAGGGTTCTGTCTCTGTTCTGATATTCACCACCACTTCCAATTTTCTGGGGGCATTGAAATCGTATGTGAGGGAAGATGATGCAGCAGTGATCTTAAAAATGGCGGGTGGCCTCTGCATTCTTATGTTTTGCCTTGAATGGTTGGTTTTGACGCTTGCCTTCTTCTTGAGGTACAACGCATTTGTGGAAGGAGGATCTGTACAAACAAACTGTGGAAAAGTTGAAGATGAGGAAGACACAAAGAACTGGCCATGGCCCTTCCAAGTCTAATAGATTTCATTTCATGATGATTCTTTCTATTTAAATTAAATAGGTTGAGATTTTCAACTGTGTAATACAATCAAATCAATCAAGAGTTTTAATTTAATTTGCCTTGGTGGGGGGTTTTTGGGGGGGGGGGGTAATCACAATCACCTTGTTTTTGTATTTGGGTGGCCTGTGTAAAAAAATTAGATCTGCATCAGCCATCAGCATAACATAAACTTGCTTCTTGTTCATAAAAATCCCAGTTAGGAAGCTGTTGGGCTTTTTATAGATCCATCACGAAAAAGAAACACAAACTTCAAAACCAAAATTGTCACTTTCCAAACACAATAATTAATGCATTGGGTATCACAAATTTTGTATTGGATAATTCAAGAGAAATTCTACTCTAAAAGTCTATGAGAATCATAAGCAACGATGTTTTATATAAATGTATCAGTAAATCGCTGGTTGGAAGATTAAAAGATGTGTTGGGCTGTTTAGTTGATTCAAACCAATCTGCCTTCATTCCTAATAGGCAGATTAGTGATAACATTTAGTTGGCCCAAGAGTTGATGAGAGGCTATCATAGGCAAAGAGGTTCTAGAAGGCGTGCATTCAAAGTGGATATCCAGAAAGCCTAAGACACGACACTGTGAATTGGAATTTTCTGGAAACTATTCTGAATAATTTTGGATTCCATCCTTGTATGGTGGCTTGGATAATGAAATGGGTATCTCTTCGGGTTCGTACACTATTCGGGTGAATGGGGATCATCATGGTTTTTTTCCCGGTATGAGAGGTATCAGGCAAAGAGATCCCCTGTCTCCGTATCTCTTTACTTCGGTTATGGAAGTTCTGACTCTGATGGTTAGAAGGAGTATCCGGGAGAGTGATGATTTCAAGTACCATCCTAAGTGTGAAAAATTGAGACTTACTCATTTATGTTTTGCGGATTATTAATGTTTTGCCATGGTGACGTTGCTTCGGTGATGGTTTTAAAAAATGCTTTGCTGGAATTTGGAAGAGTCTCAGGTTTGTTGCCTAGTATGGAGAAGAGTACGGCTTTATTTGGGGAATATTGTGGGTATTAATAGAGAGGAAATCTTAAAAGTTCTACCTTTTAAACTGGGTGCCCTCCCTGTCAAGTATTTAGGGGTCCCTCTTCTCTCTATGAAGCTATATCATAAGGATTCTTTGGGGCTTATAGATAAAATCAGAGCTAGGATAAAGGATTGGAAAAATAAATGGCTATCTTTTGCTGGACGCCTTCAACTTATCAATTCTGTGTTGTCTTCCAAAAGCGTCTACTGGGCTTCTATGTTCTTATTGCCAGTTTCGGTCATAAAGGAGATTGAAAAGATGATCAGAGGTTTTCTTTGGAGTGGTGGGGACCTGGTTAGGGGAAAAGCTAAAGTTAAATGGAAAGTTGTTTGCCTCCCAAGAAATCAAGGTGGATTGGGTGTAAAGGATTTAAGAAATTGGAACAAAGCTTTACTTGCTAAACAAATTTGGAAAGTGATTGAAGCGGGAGACTCTCTATGGGTGAAGTGGATACATGAGTATCGGTTAAAAGGCAGAAATTTTTGGGATGTTGGTGAAGTTCATGATGCGTCCTGATTTTGGAGGAAGGCTATTCAAATTAGAAACTGCTTTAGAGAGCATGTCTTACACCAGCTGGGGATGGTAGAGACACTTCTCTTTGGTTTGACTTCTAGCATCCAGTTGACCCTCTATGCAACTTAATTCCCAAAAGAGAAATTTATTCTGCAAGGATGGGTCTGAATATGAAAGTCAGGGATGTTCTCATTAATGGATTGTGGTCTTGGCCGATGGAAATATGGAACAAGTATGGAGAAATATTACAGCTATATTTACCACCTCTTATTGATGGTACCAGGGACAAAGTTAGATGGAGATGTAAGAATGGCACTCCTTTAGACTTCAGTGTTGCCAATGTGTGGAGAGACATTAGATTTGAGGAGAATGGGGTGAAATAGGCTAAATTGGTTTGGTTCTCTCAAGGTATCCCTAGGCATGCATTTATACTTTGGCTTGCCTTTAGGAACAGCGTAAGAACTAAAGACAGACTTGGGAAGTGGTCTATGAATTTGGATCCTCATTGTGTTCTATGTGAAAATGGGATGGAGTCTCATGATCACATATTTATAGCCTGTAAATATGTTCAAGATGTTTGGAGTACTCTGGGAGACCTCGGGGGTACTGGTGATCTAAAGAACGTCATGAGAGGTAACGGTTTGAGTTGGGATAATTTTGTGGGGTTAATGAGCAATATTCCAGTTAGTAATTCTATTTGGAGTATTTTTCAAAGAATGATTTTGGCTGCTGTGATATATTTTATATGGCAGGAGCGAAATTTTAGAATACACTATGGTGATGAGAGGTCTGCAGGTGCTTTAGCCAAACAGATATTTGAGATTGTGAAGTTAAGATTATTGGGCCTGAAGATAAAGAACAATGCTTAAACTAGAAGGGCTGCGGGTATGTGGGGTCTAAAGATGGGTGAAGATGAGTTTGTCAATGATGGGAATGATGATTGATATTTTACAATTTCTTTGGAGTCTGTGCCTACTCGTTCTGGGTAATCTGAGAAATGGTTTGGAGAATGGTTGGTGGAATAATGGCATCTACTCAGAGAAAACTGATCTGGGTGGAGAATGGTTAGAGAAAATTCATCTTTTGGCTTATGAGAATCCTTGGGTATGGGTCTTTGGGGAGGGGCTTGGGAAACACTGTCGGCTATATTGGGAATTTACGGGGTGGACTGGGAAAAAATTATTATTTTCTACTAACCTTTTTATATGCAGGTACTATATCTTTCTGTGTTGGACCTATTGGGGTTTGGTTTTGGATACTGGGATGAAGTAATAAGGGGATGGAGGGTAGAGGAGTTAAGTTGTGTCTTGAAATTGACTTGGAGATATAAGGAGGTTTCTAAGGAGGGCTGGATTTCTAAATGGAGCCATCATTATAGGGTGTACAGGGTGGATACTGTTTTTTTGTGCATAGTATGGAGGAAGGGGGTGGGTAAATACTGGTCTTTTGGTGTCACCAAATCTATAAGAGAATGGCTTTTTGTTTCTCTTTTAAATTTGGATTCGTTTCTTGGGCTTTGGAAGTATAGGTTTTTCATTTCTAAAGATTGGGGTTGGTTGGTTGGTTTTTTTGAATAACCAATCCTCTATAATGGATATGTTTTTGACCTGATATGGGGTGGTGTTGATTATTTGGCTTATTATTCTTTGGATTTCCATATTGAACTTCTGTCTATTGCATATGGAAATGGTTCTTTTGTTTTATTGGTCCCTGTTGCGTGAATTCTACTGTGAGATCTATGCCAGAGCTGGAAATATCAAGGCTTTTGAGAGTATATGGGGTGGGTTCTTTTTGGGGGGTGCCTTGGGATACACATGGGTTATATGGGGGGGAAGGGCTAAAAGAGTGTTCTGCAGGTTCTTTTTAAATTCTGATTTTGGGACTTTGGGATCTGGGTCTTGGGATGATGTTATAAGGGGATGCAGGGTAGAGGAGTTAGGATCTTACTTGAATTTGTTTTGGAGCCATAAGGAGGTCTTTCAGGAGGTTTGGTTGAGCCTATGGGATCTCTTTTTCTTGCTGTACAGGGGCTGTCTGGTGTATAAGGGATACACTTTGCTGTGTATGATAGTTTTGGAGGTTGCCTGGGATGTCGGATTGATCATTAGGTCCAATTTTTCCATGGTGTACAGGTCTAAAAATGTGTTTATCTACATTCTTGGGTGGAAGGGGTTGGGTAGTTGTAGGTCTCTTGGAGTCTCCAAATCTAAAAGAAAATGGTTTTTTGATTTTCTTTTAGTCTTGGCTTCTTTTCTTGGGCACAGGAGATATGGGATTCCTATCTTATGGGTGTTTTGGCCGATCCTATGTGGTAGTCCTATTGTGAGCTTCAATTTCCTATTGTCAAAGAGTTTGGGTGTTAGGGGATGTTTACTGTCCCTACCTATGTGGCTTGATGTGCTCTACCTCTTTTCATCTTTGTGGATCATTTGGGGAAGCAAAGATAAAGACTTGAGTATTGGCTACTGGCCTATTTCTGTATGGACTAAAACTGAAAGCTACCAGTCTGCTAGTATTGGGTTCATTATGCTGAGTAAAACTTATGAGTCAAGGTGTGTTCTGGGAGTAAAGTTTTATAATGGAAAATTGAGGAGCAGTTTCAAAGGCTTGGGTCCCTGCATTCAAAACAGTTTCGGTATTATCTTGAATCCTGTTTTACTATTTGTTCAATTGATGCAGCCAACCATCTATCCTATGCTGCATCATCAAGGAAGCATGCTCAAAACAATATACCAATCCTTAAAAATGAATGCTTTATGTATTTTCGATGAAGTTTGGCATCCAATTTTTTGGATACCAATTATCAGTTATAGATGGCAATGGTGGATTCTTTCTCTTAGAAGTTTTCTGCTTTGGACTTCATTCGGCCAGCACCTGTATGGGCAAATTGAGGATCTTGATGGGAAAAGTCGGTGTTTTTGTAGCAATAGGCGTGGAGGGTGTTCGATTCAAACCTGGATTCTTCCCCATAATCGACGACTGGTTTGGGAAGAGGGAAGTCTAGGCGATTTGGATAAAAAGCCGATTTCTAGGGTTTTAAAACCCTGCAATAGCGCCTGGAAAGAGGGGTTCTTCGAGGATATGGGTTGGAGGTCCGATTGCTGGATAAGGTGGATGAAATCGGAGAAGAGGAGCTGGTTTTGTAACTATTTCGTGGAAAGCCGATGTTTTTGTCTTCAGTTTGCTGCTCCTGATCGTACGATGAAATGCTTGGAAATTGTGTTTGAAGAAGACAATGTGGACTCTGTTTGATCTAAAGCATTATGCGGATCAGTGGATGCCAGCCATCGACGATGTGTTTAGCGTTTGGGCTTCAAAAAAGAATTTGGGCTACATGGATTTTATTATTGAGAAGGATATTTGGGCCTGTTTTATTTTCAAGTTCTACAAGGAAGGATTATGCTGTTAGCGATTGGGCCTGGATGAAGGATGTTTACTACAAGGAGCTGGTTGGTTCTAGGCCTTTTCATGATGGCCCAAGATTCGGAATTTGGGTTCTCTACTCCATTAAGATTTTGGATTGGGTTTGTTGGTTGTGTTGTGTAAAGCTATGTTAATTTCTAGGAATAGGCCTTTGTTTTGTGTTTTTTTCAAACATTTTTTTGGGATGTACTTTTTATTTATTTATCTTGGGGTATGTTCCTCGTAATTGTCTTTCTATTATATTTTGAATAATTTTTTTCATTTTAATTATTATAACATTGATTATATTATCAAAAAAACTCGGTATATTAAATAATATATTACTTTTTTTTTTCTAGACACTTAATTACAAAAACTCTTATTTTAATGGAAATAATATTATATCATTTATGTTACATAAACAATCATTTTTTAATTTAGAGAATTTACATCATCTCTTCTATATTTCTTAGTTTTGAAGATGGTATTGAAAAATCCTAAAACCTTTATTTCTTACATTTTAAAAGATTTATTAAAGATAGTAAATAAAAAACGTCCCCTCCAGGATTGAGAGGCCAAAGTCTCATAATTTAAAAAAAAAAAAAAAACACTTTAGTCTTTTCTTTCAACGTGTACTTGTGGCCATCAACCTCAACCCAAACCCACTTCATCCATCCACTTTCATTGACTTTGTTTCAATTTACAATATTATCTTCAAGCAACTAGTAAATATTGAGAATTCTCTTGATTCTCCCTACGATTAATCCAATTGTGGATAAGTCGGTTTAAATATTCATGATTAAAAAAACTAATGAAAAACTTGATATATATATATATATATATATTTTTTTTGTTTTCTTTATATTTTTTCTGGAAAAAAACAATACTTTTATCAACAATCAGAACTGTTTTGATGAGTAAGTAATAATATTAGGTGACTCTATCTAAACAGCCGTTTCATTGGATTAGAAAACTCATTTGTTTTTGTCGTTTTATATATATTCCTACAACTGGAAGGATCATTTTTATGATATAGCTAATAGCCTGGACCTGGACCTGGACCTGGAGAGACCATATAGAAATCTGAAATCTCCCTTTATAAAAGAATCGCATACAGATAACCGAAGCGGCGTGAAGATAAGCCATCGATCGGCACACACAGCAGACTGCAGAGCAGCAATGGCTTCTTTGATCCACAAACACTTGTTTCCTCTTTGCAAATCCAAGTCCAACTTCTATCCGGACATCCCTTTCGTCAATCGCCCTGGACTTTCTTTTTCTCTCGCTCCCAAGAAGCCTTCTTCCTCCTCATGTAACCCAATCTTCTGTAAAGCCGTTTCTCTCAAACCACAAGAACCTCAAATCGAAGGTCTTAACATCGCAGACGATGTTACTCAGGTCTCCTTCGCTAGATCATTTCAACTTTTTCTTTTTCCTTTTCCGCATCATCTACTTGTCTCCAATTAAAATATTGAGATCTACAACTCCATCCCCGTTTGATTGGTGTGTGTATTCATTACGTCAAACTATTATTTCTTAATTGGTCAACTACAATGGCAACGTCATGTTTAGGGTTTAGCCAAATTTTTACTAGATTTTGATATGCTGGTTTATATAGATATACCGCAGACTATTTAGCTCTTAACAATTACTCTTAAGTAACGATTGATGATTTCCCGGTTGATAGTTTTTGACCTACTGTTATGCCCCAACTCTTGACAACATACATGCCAGGAATAAATTATTTATGTCCAATGAAGAACTTGATAGAAAAATTATGTTGTAAATGGGGGTTAACTCTTTTTGATAATTTGAAATTGTTTCTTGTGACAATTATTCTAAAATCTTTTTGATTGGGATTTGAGGTGTTAGGTACTCCTCATTCTGAAGGGATTTGATTGTAAAACATTCATGTATTGCTAGCATTTTTAGTCTCGGGATAATAGAAATGTACCATCATCCTTAATTATTTGACATTCGAACCCTTGTATTAAATCCTATTAGTTTCACACTCTTGTGTTTCCCAAGTTGTAGGCTATCACCTCCGCACATTAAATTTACATGTTTGGATGATTGATTGTCTACTCATATTCGTACGCATATGCCCTACCATATTTCATGTAGCCACAATTGTGCGCCATTTCTTACCATGCATGATATAGCTAGTGGAGTGACCTGGTTATTCTTGTACAAGGTCACTTGTATTAACTTTCTTCTTTCTTATGAAAAAACAGCTTATAGGGAAAACTCCAATGGTGTACTTGAATGACATCGCAAAAGGCTCGGTTGCAAATATTGCTGCCAAGCTTGAAATTATGGAGCCATGTTGTAGTGTGAAAGACAGGTGAGGAATAGATTAAACTGCCGTGTGCTTAAACATTTATGTGTTCTATTGTTCTCTCTAGATTAAGTCAATAGGGTGTTTGCTCTGTAATACAGTGTATTCAATCTGGCAATATCTTATTGAGTCATGGTTTCTTAAATCATGGCTTTGGTTCTTTAGCTGCTGCACATTAGCTATGCAAGTATCTGGTTATTATTTTAGGTATTGCTTTGTTTAATGAAAAAGCAATTCATATTCTGGTACTGAATATCCAGTTAATTTTTTGACTTCAGGATAGGAAACAGTATGATAGCTGATGCTGAAGAGAGAGGACTTATTACACCAGGGAAGGTAAAAAGATAGTTGATCTTCCTTGCTGTTATGAGAAGATGGGATCTCATGGATGTGTATTTGGTAAACAATGTTGCATGTTGGTTTATGTGATGCATTACGGATCAGGACATTATTAAATATATATCGAGTGGAAAAGGCTGTACACATCTATGAAAGAATGCACCTTGTGCTTCGAACATATAACAGTGAGATGAACAGGCTATCTCAAGGGGGCTTATGTAGAGTGAGCCAAAAGTTCCAAATAATTTTGTTTGGGCGACATATGTAATGAAGCAAAACTGATATTTCACATGCTTAATTACCTAAGGTCGGGAGAGTTTTTTTTTTCTTTATGTTTCTTTGGGAGGTGGGAGGGGGTTCTACATGTCATTTCACTTTTTAATCTTTCTTCTTAACCTAACAAAGCCTTATACATGAATGAAATATTATCCAGCTTATCAGGTGCTTCTCATTGCGATGGATGTGATGACATGTAAATTTGACATAATATTTGGATTTTGGAAAAATTAATTATCAGGATATAATTTTCATCAGCCAATGCAGAGTAGTGAGCTAAGATAGGCTTCATTTGATTTGCGTTTGTTGTCGAGTAGATAGGTGTACCAAGCATTTAAAGGGACATGCATTCTTGAAAGGCGAGAATATCGTATATGTAGTTATAGAAGAGTAGCTTTTGAATTTATGTCCTAGGAATTTGATGTAATTCCACATGGAATTTAAGAAAACAAACACACATTTTGCGGAAGATACAGCCTAGAACTACAAAATAGCTACACTTTGATGTCAAACTTAGGATATAATATGTTCAGATGCTGTCTTATTTCTTCTCATCTTTGTAGCCTAATATATCTAGAACCTTGAATGATGTATTGTTTGAACCTAATTCACCAATGCACTGTCATCAAGACTTGATAATTGTTCCCTACAGTTGTTTATCCTTTTAAACAAAAAGATCCATGAATTTAGAGAATACTTTTTAATTAGTAAATAAATGCTCCCTTTTTCATTTTCTTGTTTCCAGAGTATATTGGTTGAGCCTACAAGTGGGAACACAGGCATCGGACTTGCATTTATAGCTGCTTCAAAAGGGTATAAGCTCATATTGACAATGCCAGCATCAATGAGTCTTGAGAGAAGAGTTCTTCTAAAAGCGTTTGGAGCTGATCTTGTTCTAACAGAATCCTCGAAGGGCATGAAAGGAGCAGTTCAGAAAGCTGAAGAAATAGTCAACAGCACACCCCATGCTTACATGCTTCAACAATTTGATAATCCTGCGAACCCAAAGGTACTATCATCCTTTTCTGTTTAAAAAGACAACTGTTGAGTATTAGATTACTTGCTATGCATACAAATGTGCTGCCTGTGGATCATTTTGGAAAGAGGTTCTCATGGTAGGAAAATCCATTGTTGGGCTTGTAACTATTGGTGAAAGTATAATATATCAGATCAGTTACAATCATTAGTATTAGAGACAGAAATTTTACCCGTGGGGGGTTGGAAATTATGGTTCTATCTATCCCATCCTATGCTGACTGCACATTGCAAAGCTATATGTGATGCATAACAGCCCATTCAATCAGGCAAACATTTTTTTATATGCAAATTTAGTAGTCATATTAACTGCTAAGCTATTCCTGTTGTGAATACTTGTCTTGATTTCTTGAGGCATATTCACTGCTGAAGCAATCAATACGTGTGATTTCTGTAGTTTATTTTAGTTTTAACATACTAAGACTTATTAGAAGCTTTAATTTTTTTTGGTTCTCTTGAAGTTTCAGTTTACCTGAATTCATCCATCAGGCATGATTAAACATCTAAGGATTGATTAAAACAAATATACTTTTAGTGTCATTAATATGAGAGGATTACCTACTATGAGGTGCTATGGTATGTGGTGCTATAACTGTTGGCTATCTTATATAACTTTATAAGTTGTGTTTTCATTTGATTGCAGTTGGGTGTTTCCTTGCAATTTATCATGCATTTCTAGAGTACGACTTACATCGATGTTCTCTGCAGGTACATTATGAGACAACTGGCCCAGAGATCTGGGAAGACACGAAAGGAAAAGTGGATATATTTGTTGCAGGAATTGGAACGGGTGGAACTATTTCTGGGGTTGGGCGTTTCCTCAAGAATCAAAATCCTGATATCAAGGTAACTTCACGGCCCAAATTGACACCTGATATATATTATATAATATTATATTATATCATATTATATATTATGTGTATGTATATGGGGCATTAGAGTCTAAATTAATTAAGTTGTAGCATACACATATAATACTTTCTTAAGTTCAAATTGGTTGCTGATTTTTTTTGAAATAATTTACTTGGTTTATTTTTTACCTGGTGAAATTCGTACTTATCAGGTGATCGGTGTGGAACCTACGGAAAGTAACATTCTGTCTGGTGGAAAGCCTGGTAAGGTTCCTAACAGCAACTATTCAGTTTGTGATTTGAAGTTATGTCTTCTATTTCTAGCTTTTATCATGTGAAAAATGCAGGCCCTCACAAAATTCAAGGGATTGGGGCAGGTTTTGTACCAGGGAACTTGCATCAAGATGTGCTTGACGAAGTGATTGAGGTCTGAACTTTGTCCCTCCTTCAAACCACCCCATTTATGCTAGATGAGATTCCTTTTTGATGTTTATTTGCAGTGCTTATATCCAGTATAGTTGTGGACCAACTGACAATGTGCTACAAGTTTTGGGTGTGGAATGATGTATGTTATCTGCACATCACCTTGGCAACTCAATTAAAACAATGTGAAGTTATAGAACAGAAAACAATTAAAACTACTACTAGTGGTGAACTTGTAATTTTGAATGTGAGGTAGTGATTTATAAACCAAAAAATTGTACTTGTATCACTTAGAAGAATGTTGTCGTTGTCTATTGGATGTCTTTACAACTTCACCGTACAATAAAGAACCTTTTTACACATGTGACTAATAAGATTTGGATTATTCACCCCTGCGCAGAAGTCTATAAAATAACACAAATAGGTAAGAAATTTGGGTATATTGTGATTGATAATACCAAGGAAAATCAGGTAGGATTTGGTGTTGAGTTCGTATCATTTACTTCATATATAATTTGATTTGATCGGATTGTAAGATACAACTCATGAGTCCTACAGTTTTGACAGCTAAGCTTGCCATGGAATGCTGAATAATGTCCCATATATCTTCTATAATTGCTTAACTAGGTGAAATCTCCTTGGCGAAGATTGTTGGTACATTAACAAAATCAACATGTGCTTTGTAGCTGCACTTGTGTTTCTCAAACTGGAATACATCATTTTGACATTTTAGAGTGCCACATTTTGGAGGAGGGGTGAGGAGAGCAGACTGAGGAGTATGTGGGATGAGCAGGTGAGACTGGACATGGCAGTTTTAGACATTTCCAAAGACATGACCTGAGATAGGAGTTTGCACTTTTTTTTGATTAACCTGGATATCCAACCCGCTATGCGAGCCGACTAATCCCAGGGCGACCACCTGCTTTGCAGATAGCCGGGAGTCACCGCATTTGAACCTCCGTGGCCACAAGGGGATTTTTATTCCTCCTTGGATTTGAACCTGAGACCTGCTGGTACTTTTGACCTTTGGAGCCAAAGCTCAAACCAATCAGGCACCACCCTTGTGGTTGAGTTTGCACATTTTGTGTAAGAGCTTGTGGCAAATGTGGATGGGGGAGGGGGTTGGAGAGGTAGAGGGTAGGAGGGATAGAGAGTCGACAGCTAGGTATCACTTGTTCTTTTGTTTTCTGCACTTGGTCTCAAGACTGCCCCAAAAATTATTCGTGAAGTCTTTTTTATAAAACCTTTTTGCAAGCTGGGTCTGCATGGAAACATCTCTACTCCTTGGTAAGAGGTAAGGTCTGCTTGCATGCATCTTACCCTCAGACCCTACCCTGTGTTGGATTTAATGTGTTTAGTTTAGGTGCCACATTTTCGACTTATTACGATATAATTTTCTAAGATGTTCTGATCAGACATTAATTGAACTTCTACTTCCAGATTTCAAGTGATGAATCTGTTGAGACTGCAAAGCAATTGGCACTCCAAGAAGGCTTATTGGTAACGGCTTTTTGTTAAAAACAAGTTTACATGTATATCTTGTGAAGTTTCCAGGCTTTTGTGTTATGTATTATAGTTCATTTATTTCTATATGGAGAAGTATATTATCTTATATCATTTTGGTTTTAAATTGTCAAATAGCGCCAGATCGCTATGTCCCTAGAATAACAGAGTATGCACTATGCAAAACTTTGTCTGCTTGGATTATCTGAGCAACTAAAATTCTCATTGTTATTAAAACAGTGGATTAATTTAATTGTAGCATGAGGGAAGTGTTGTCCACAATTTCTATTAAATTTATGATATATCATACATGCTGCTCCGCAGCTCATTGACATTTTTTATTGAATTTTTAAGGTGGGCATATCTTCTGGAGCAGCAGCAGCAGCTGCAATCAAGGTTGGAAAGAGACCGGAGAATGCAGGAAAGCTTATTGCGGTATGCATTTCATCGTCTTAGCATATATGCACTTTCATAATAGGTGTTTATACATGAATGCACACCCAGACGTATACAGATATGGGGTTGGGTTATGGTGAGAATGGTAAGAAGGGATCTCCATCCTTGGTTCAACAATTCTAATATATATGATCAAGGGTGGGGGTGAGACTAAATGTGATCAAGGGTCCGGATCCCTTCTTGCGCTTCTCATTTTAACTCCTATTCTCACACGATCTTTCTGTCTATATATATGCATGTGTGGTATGTGCATACATAAAGGCTAATAGCACCAACATTTGTGTTGCTGCCAGTATAATTAGAAGACATAAATGGCAAACTCTGCATTTTGAGTCGAGTCATGTTCAAGTTTGGATGTTGAATATAAGTAAGTTGTAGAGTTAAAAATCAATGAAGGTGAAGCAAATGGGTGTTCCAGCATAATATAGATGGGCGATTGCGGATGATAATTAATGCTTAATTGTAACTTTGCAGGTTGTGTTCCCTAGCTTTGGTGAGCGGTATCTATCCACCATTCTTTTTCAGTCAATCCGGGAAGAGTGTGAGGCAATGCAAGCAAGCTGAGTCATGGAAGAAGAAGAAGAAGAAGAAGAAGAAGAAGAGTGTTTTTGGTTATTGATTTAATGGTTTAGATGATAGAAGGAAGTAGTGAGTCTTCTGATTCATCAATTATGATGATACTTACTTGGCAATTATAATAAGGCATAGTCCTCAAGACACCAAATCGTTTTGTTATTTGTTGTTTTTATACATTATCTTTATTCTCCATTATTATTAATTTATATTTCTTTTGTTGTAAAAAAAAGGAAGAATTTAATCCATGTTACTTAATATGCTGATTAGTTGAAGGTCTAAATGAAAATAATACGAAAACACTTATCATCATGTGTATCTGATTTAACATCATATGTTATGTGGTGGCAATCAACCATGGTTTATGATTTTATTTTAATTTTTTATAAACTTTTTTCTTTTGTGTATGTGTATGTGTATAAGAAAGACCGATACCATTGTTGAATTGAATATGGGTGTTGTTGCTTGAGGAAACACAAACACAAACCCAAAACCAAAAATGATGGATGCAGATATGAGCTGCAAAAACCTACCGAACCTTGTATCTTCATTCGTCGACACTTTCGTTGATTTCTGCGTCACCGGTATCTTCTTGCCCGATGCCCCCTCTCCTCCACTTCTCCAAACTTCCTTCCCTTCCCCTCATCGCCTAATAGCCATCGGTGACCTCCATGGCGACCTTCTCAAATCCAAGCAAGCTCTCCGTCTTGCCGGCCTCATCGACTCCAACGACCGTTGGTCCGGTGGCTCCTCCACCCTTGTCCAGGTTGGCGACGTCCTCGACCGCGGCGGCCAGGAACTCAAAATCCTATACTTGCTCGAGAAACTGAAACGAGAGGCTGTTAAGTCCGGCGGCAATGTGATCACCATGAACGGCAATCACGAAATCATGAACGTCGATGCAGATTTCAGGTACGTCACCCCATCTGGGCTCGATGAATTTACTAACTGGGCTGATTGGTTTTGTATTGGTAATAACATCAAGAATTTGTGTCATGGATTGGAAAAACCTAAAGATTTGTATGATGGAATTCATTCAACAAGTTTTGCGCGTGTTAAACAGGAATATGTCAAGGGTTTCAGATCTCGGGTGGCTGCATTGAGGCCTCAAGGTCCTATAGCAACTAGGTTTTTGTCAAAGAATTTGACTGTAGTTGTGGTTGGTGAATCTGTGTTTGTTCATGGTGGGGTTTTGCCTAAACATGTTGTTTATGGGTTGGAACGTATCAATGAAGAGGTTAGGGATTGGATGACTGGATTGAAACCAAGGGTGGGTTCCAGTTTGGTTAGAGGGAGGAATTCTCTGGTATGGTTGAGGATATTTTCCAACGAGGTGGCTAAAGATTGCGACTGCACCATGCTTGAACACGTGCTTTCCACAATTCCAGGTGCAAGGAGGATGATCATGGGTCATACCATTCAAGAAGATGGTATAAATGGAGCCTGTGATAACAGAGCTATAAGGATTGATGTGGGTATGTCGAAAGGGTGCATAAATGGCTTGGCGGAGGTTCTAGAGATTACTGAGAATTCAGGGGTACGAATCCTAACATCAAACCCTATCATGATGTATGATAAGCATGATTCTTTAAGTATTGATTCCTCTATTCCTATTCCTAAACAAGTGGAAGTCGAGGCTTAAGTATGGAACCTGCATTACATTTGTTTTTGGGGAATCTGCATTACATTTGTTTTTAGATGTAATAGTAATAGCATTAGCAATCATTTGTGGTTTATCCCAATTAATTTCCCACCAAGTTTTTCATTTCGAGTTGCTGCTATCAATCATATATTTCGCTTCAATTTTCTTCTCCTTTACAAGCCAATGGCAACATTTATCTAACCCATGCTTTTTAGCTTGGTATGCAGTCATAACAAATGACTAGGAATTTGCATGTTGTCGAGAGAGAAACACACGCATACACAACATCATCAAATTTCTGAATCATGGACAAGGGTAGGGATTGAATGGTTATTTGATCTTCAATTCTTGTCATGAACAAGGTTCCTTATTTAGCGTAATATTTTTTTTTTTTTTTTGGTTTTGCCTAAAAAAGAAAAGGTTGATGACTTGTTTTACTCAAGACTACTGCCATTGCAAAGTTATCAAGGGATGATGGAGGATTTTGTGTACTGTAAAAACGTAATTGCATCTTCAAGTTGCAGCAGAAACGAAATGCATCAATTAGACTATATCATGTCATATACATATGTATCAAACATAACACCACAACTCTAGCATACATGGAATTTGCATCAAATAGAAAACAAAACAAAAAAAAATATTCCAAACTGCATGCTTTTTTATTACCACACTCTCACTCTCATCAATACATCATCATACCATATATAATAGTAATACTAAATAGTAATAGATTCATTCACCTGTGCTGGTGCTGGTGCTGGTGCTGGTGCAGGTGCTGGGTGCCGTGTTAAAATAACAATAAATAGAATAAGTGAGCACACAAAACAAAATTACACAAATCTGTTAAATGCTTTTCTCCTTTCCACAGAAATGGCAGAATCCATGCTCAACTCCCCTATAGACCCCGGAGACTTGTGCTTCCTACTGCTACCAGACCCTTTCTTCCAATTCAATGACCCATTGCTGTTGGGAGTTGGTGGAAATGAAAACCTCCTTTCGCTACCTGGACTGCTCGGCATCCTGTCCTTGGGATTACTTGTTGGTCTTGCTTTTGCTTTGGCTGAAACCGTAGGACTCATATAGTTGGGAACTGAAAATGCTGGGCAGCTCATCAAGCTGTCGTCATCCTTCATTGAATATCTCATCCGTTGTCTTGTTCTTGGAGGAACCATGGACCTTGATGACATTGGTGATTGGTTGTTTTGCTTCTTTATCAAACGTGGACTCACAGGAGTTGCCCTTGAAGGTGTGCTTGCAAACTGATTATTCTTTACATCACAAGGGAATTGACGTTCTAAGCGGCTCCACCACCAGGGGTATCCACCTGATCGGATAGAGTTTTGAGCTGAATTTGGTGTGGTTTTCCATAACTGAAGAAAGATTAGAATTACTTGCAATAGAGCTGATTTGTGTTGAAACACTAAGTATGAATTGTGTTCAAAGTACCTGGTGGGAGTATGCATAAGCCATGGCTTTCTCTCTCTTAATCACTGCCTCGACTTTTCTCTGCAACCTTGCTTCTCTTTCCTCTTTGGTAATCAAGCTATCATCCCAGTATTCATCACCCATCTCCAACGACTACATCCAATGCTCCAGATTAACACCGAGTTGTAAAAAAACCAAACGGGTTTTAATTATGTAGAATTTATATATAATATAATGTGGGACCTGTCTGTGCCTTTCACATGAGTATTGATTGTTACCACAATAATAACGAAAATAAGCAAGAAACCCTTGACCAGAAAACTTAATTCAGGAATCCAAATAAAATATGTTATGAAGAAATGGTTACCGGTAGTAGGTTGTTGAGTTGTTTGTTAGGTTGGGGTTTGAGTGGTTGGTTCTGTAACATTTGGATTCTTCGCGACTGTATTTGTGTTTGGACTCTGACCAACAGCTGCATCTGCTTCATGGCATTGACCGTCTGTCTCTTGACATGCTGACCTCTAACTAGAGCCTGAAGCCTCAGAAGACCAGTTGTCAAAGGTTTAGAGTTGAAGCTCCTCCGTGCCTGCATTTTACTTAATTGTATGAGGTGAGAGAGTAATGGAATGATGAGTTGTGTATATATATATGTCACCATGTAGCCTCTAAAGGCAGCCTGGATCCTGGTAGCTGAAAGGCGTTGTAGAGGTGGTTCTGTAATCTCATGATGAACAAGTGTAGGAGAAGTGATTGTTGGAGTAGATGAAGGTGGTTGTGATTGTTGGAGTAGGTGAAGGTTGTGTTGTTGGTCAATTTCCCCCAAGATTTTCTCAATACTGCTTGGCTCTCTGAAACGGGGAAAAAACGATCCATGTTTAAACCTGGCCTTGTTTTGTTTAGGTTCCTGCAACAACAAGAGCAGTAGTATGAAATTCAAATTCAAATTCAAATTCAAATTCTTACTTGTTAAACTTGGAATTACTTACGTTATTGAGTTTGGAGTTGGATGTAAAAAGTCTCTTGATTGCAGAAAACCAAGTCCCTTTTTTCCCCATAGAAGCATTACCCTAAGAAAGAAAAAGACAGAAACAGGAAGATGAAGGTAGCTAGGGTTTTAGTTTAGAGGTTGAAGAGAGAAAGGAGATTGAAGGAGGTTGGGTTACCTTAAACAAGAATTATGGAGGAATCCTTTCTGTAAAAGCAACAGGAAATCTGTTATACAGAAGAGAAAGAGGAAAAGAAATCTTGTGTGTGTGTGTGTGTGTGTGTATGGTTGGGCAGTTTGACACTCAAAAACAATTTTCTGGTGTTGTTTCCTTGTTCCTTCCACCAACGTTTACTTTACTACTGGAATGGAATTCTTTCAGTTAACAAGATAAAAAAAGAAAAGTAGTGGTTTGCAGCATCATCATGATTCATGATTATGAGCTGAGCTGCCCAGGTGAAGGTGAAGGTGAAGGTGAAGGTGAAGGTGATGTATCATCCATCATCATGGCGGTGCCTGTGTTAACGTGGCCCCCACAAACCTCTTTTTTTTTTTTTTTTTTTTCTTTTTTATGTGGTGGAGCCTTTACAGATAATAAATAATTCCCAACTTTTTGAAAATTCTTCCCTCTTTAAAACTAAAACTATAAACAAGGAAAGGAGCCTTTTTTTTTTTTTTATTTAACAAAACCACATCTGCCTTATTATTACTTTCATCCATCTTCTTTAATTACTTCCATCTTCAATAAAATTTTCAAAATAACAAGTAAAAAAAATTACAACATATTCTCGATTACACAACCAATTAAATTATTTAATACAACTCCTAAAATATTATTAAACATTTAAATTGAAGCAACCAACGATTTAAAAATCATTTCTTTTGCATAAGTAATCATTTTTAATTTGGAGAACTTAATTCTCTATCATACTTTTGGAGAAGATTTCGTGGAACAAAAATCCCTAAAATCTTCATTTTATTTTATATATGTAGCAAGCAACTAGCAAGTAGAAGTAGGTAAGTAAATTGGGAGTTAGTAGTATGATTGATCATGTCACATGTATGTGAATCATATATCTTGAAATGAATGTTGTTAATAATAGCCATCATCGGTTTCTGTTCAAACATAAAGATTGTTTTCATCTCAAGAAGAAGAGAATCTTCACTTAACAAAATGCTTATGAAGCTTCTCCAGTCACTTGTCAGCTTCTTCTTGTTGATGAAAGTGGGGTTCATTTGTAAAGAATGTTTCATGGAAGATTTAGGAGTAAATTGTATGTTTGAAATTAGGAATGGAGGAAAAGCATATAAGAAAAAATTGAGCCTCCACTCCCCACTCCCCATTATTAATGAATTGTCTCATTTGCAAGAAAAAAGCCATTACGATTGTTTTAAGAATGGGCAAGGTGTGATTCTTACACAACGCTTGCTTGTATGTTTTTATCAACATATATAGACTTTATTTATTTTGTGTTGCATGTTATTCAAGTACTACTGCTGTAATTTCTATATTATCCAAAAAAAAAAATATATATATATATATATATATATATATGTGGTTACATGAGTTGTGAAGAAAATGGGTGCTGTTGCAACAGTTGTGATGTGTATGTGTATCTCTTGAATGTTGGTGCTTTCTACCCTCTGATGTTGCTGGAATACTTTGGATTCTGTTTTCAATCAACTTTTTACAACCTTTTGCTTGGAGGTTGTCATCAATTCAAATGTAAAGTCTCTACTGTGTTATATATATATATATATATATATATATATATATATATATATATATATGGTGTAAATAAATAAGATCTGTTGCAATGTCATGATCATGAATAATGCATTATTGCAATGTCTATGGTGACCTGAAAATGTGATTATACAAATATAATGCAGGAGCCTAGTTCTAGCATCACAATATCCAAACAATCTGAAGCTTTGATTTATAAACATCTGAAAGAATGGTAGCTACTAATTATGCCTCGATTAAGAATCGATATTCTTGCTTGCATCTTTGAAGCAAGCTTTGTTTTTCTTAATTTATTAACTTTTCATCTCCTTTAAATTTCTATCCATCTCTCTATTCCTACAAACTAGCTTTTAGTTCCAGTTTGGTTTTGTGCATGCCATATATGTGAAGCACAGATAAGTAGGTAGGAAAGATTTGAAGACATGATAGCCACAAACATGTGACCAAGTAGTAAAATGGAGCAATAAACCCAATTAATGGTTGGAGATGAAGTGATAAATATGTGCAATAAATCAAAAAGACGGTTTCTGACTATGTACTTATCAATTGGATTGATAGATGATTATTTTGGCAGCCTACTAACAGTAATACTAGTCAAGTGCATTGATGTTATCAATGTGTTACAACTCTCTTCTCTTACCTGTCTAGCTCTAGCTATATAAATACAACAAGATGCAGCTTAATTATATGAGATCACTTTATTTAATTAGTTATTGATATATTCGGGATGGCTATGGTTAGAAATGCATCATCAAGTTGCAACATCAGCAGCAGCAGCAGCAGGGAAGATGAAATTACCCATGTTTTTGCAATACTTACCTGCTGCCCATCTTGGAAAGCAAGAGTGCTATGGACTTGAATGTTGAGCTTAATCCTGCTTTCCGCCCTTGACCAAACCAGCTACCTGCTACATATGCTTAATTTGACTATGTCTATTGCTAGCTTCTCCCTGTTTAATTAATATACAGATTCATTGCTATTCACTATGTATGTAGTATGTGTGTCTATGCACTAATAGATTTCGATTTTTATTATCATTATTTGACTATGTTTGTTGGTTATATAGAAGAATTTTCAATATTTGTAACAAGCAATGAGTACCCATCCTGTTACAAACAATTAACGAAGAATATATGTTTGTTACGATTGTAATATAATCTCGATGAGAATGCTTTTACTAATTAAATTTCATATAGTATTTATTATTTATTATAATATATAGTGTGCTCCATGCATCATGCATAGTCTTCTATCAATCTTATTGCATGCTATCTGTATATCATCTCCCTCCCTTGGTGCTAGCAGCTGCATACAGATTTGTGTTGTTCAATTTCATTCTCAACTCTCAAGCACTTACTACAAAAGGAAGATTATATTTTGGACATGGATTACTATCAAAAAGTCCTATTCATGTTATTATAGTATTTGCCAACTAATTTTGGCCCCACGTTGATTATCCAAATCTTGTTAGCTACTGAGATAAGAACTAGAAGAGGTGCAAACAAAACAAAACAAAACCGACGATTAAACCTATGTCAGTCTGCAAAGCCAAAATTATACAAGTTTTGTTATCAACGCCCTTCCTACTTCAATATAAAAGAAGCAGTGCACCCACATGCTCTTTCATACTTTATGAAAATGGGGGGTTCAACAGCAAGTATAATGATATTGTTGTTTGCCTTTGCCATATCAGTGGTGGCAGATGCACAGCAAGCTCCTTTCATCCCTTGCTGTCAGGAAGGAGTCAGCATCCAATGCTGCCCTACTACTACTACTAATACTATTGGTGGAGGTGAACACAACTATCCACCCAACGTCGTGTTCTTCCATGCCCAACAACCTTGATCCACCATGCCAAGGCCATTCCTCCAAATAACTCCTTAAGGAGCCAATTCCACTTTATAATATCTCTCTTTATGTCTCTTAATCTTCTACCCTATTTGTAATATGCTGCCCTACAGTATTTTAGATCATATTATATGGATCATCATGTCCTGTAGCTTCATATATATATATATATATATATATATATATATTAATGGATGATTTTTATATGTTGTATTGCTATTTGCTACTATCCAACAGTTTATACATCTAGAGAACACTAACCAAAATCATCCTCCTTTCAAGCTCAGGCAAAAAGTAACCAATATTATGCTTTCCTTAAAATACCATTTCATCACATGTTAAAAATCAATGATACAAAAGCATTAGCTTACTGCCATTGCCATATTTTTCATGAATACATTCAAATATCAAAACATACCCAAGTGACACCTTCAGATCTTGAGGGCTTGATGACAATTCTGTGTAAGAGTTGGAATTCAGGTGTATACAGTAGTGACCCTCTGTCTTCTATTTACGCTTCAAACTGAAATGGTCTTAGCCAACTTAAAGTTGATCGAGTCAGAGCCAGGAGCAGTAATCACGTTTCCAGTATCAGACATGTAAAAGTTGTTGTAATTAATTCTGGTAACTAGATCTGCCAAATGTGGAAATTGGCCCACATTAAGCTTAAAAGATAGTACCTGCACATAAAACATAAGCATCTTAAGAACCAGAACCTGCCACATACCAACACGCAAAAGAAAGTGAACACAATGGATGGATAAAAAGGCTACCCTGAGGAGGAAGGCTATGCAATCATCAAATTGTTTCTCAATCCGATCTACTTCCTTCTCACATCTAGCTTTGATTGCAGAAACTGCTCCACCACTACTTAACGTCTGCTGGACAGAATAGAAGTCCAGTGCTAGTCCAAGTATACTGTTGATCCGGCTGGCAATCAATGCCCACTGTGCACGAATAAAACCCGTCACTTACCCTGCTCCTTTTGACTTGTAGTATACCTTTCCGAAGAGTAAAAAAACACAATGCATGGTAGAAAGAAAGCCAAGAGAAAGATCTTACTGACCAGCTTGTCTGGGACTACAAAACATTGGCGCTGAATTGACAGTAAGTATGCCTCGTGCACCTCAATGACTTCGTCAAGAGATCCAGCAGCTGCCATACCTTCACATAATTCACGCCATGCGCTGTGGTATACCTAAGTTGTCATATACAATATTTTTAGGTCTCAAAAACCTCATGTTACAACTTGGTAATCGATGATCACATACCATCAAGGAAATGTAATCTTTTTTGATATAAAACATGTAGATAATAAGGTGTACGGGTTATTACTCTGTCCATAACATATTGATGAAATGCGTCAACAAAATGAAGAAGTTTTTGCTCCACTAACCATCTATGCTTGCGGTTAACTGTTGTTGTGCCCCGTTCCTGGAAAGATAAGTAATAAAGCATCCTTCAACCAGAAAACCACAAGAGCACTCACATGCATCGAAAGACAGAAAAGAAAAAGATGGCATTCCAATGTAAAGTCATATGAAACTACAACTTACAAATGTTGTGACCAGTTTAAACACTATTTTCTTTTGGCTGTGTCAGCAAACTTTCCATACCGTCCCACATGAGTGAACCCCCCCCCCCCCCCCCCCCCCCCCCCCGCGGGGTAATTAGATATCATGGACCATAAGAAAACTAGCATGCTTTAAGGAGTATTTACAAGAATAACTACTACCTTCCACATCCATCTTCGAGCTTTATCAAGAACAAATTTCGCACGCTTGACCCTCAATAAGAAATTCATCACCTACCATGAAATGCACACAAATTTAATTCAAATTCACACATGAACAAGCAAAATGGAAAAAAGTACCTGGTTGTACTTCTTTAAAGCTTCAGCATTAGCAATAAGTTCGAGAGGCCAAGAGACCTACAACAAGTTATACATGATCTTGGAATGATATATGGTGGACATGCATACACGATAGTAAGGGAAGTTAAATTAAATTACCTTGTATGTGAATTTAAGTGAGTCAAGGTCATTGATTCCAGAAACCTGTGCACGACTTTTACGGGGACTCGAGACCAGAAATGATGTAGTCTGTTGACCACTGCTACTTGTACCATCAGTTTTTGTTAAAGAAACAACTAAGGAATCCGGTGAGCTTAGTACTGTGCCATCAGCAGAATTTCTAATTGATTCCTGAAGTCATTTAGTAAGCATCATCGCCTGCCTCAGTCTAGAGAAGCAAATGAATACATGGCACGCGAATCCTATACTAATAATATCTAATAACAGCTTATAAGTTATATATAAGTTCGGAAGGTAATATTGATTACTCTCAAATATTGATCTTAGAAGATGCATATATTGCCATTCACCTGTCACCAAACAACAATCATATATTTATACTTGCCATAGACCTAACAGTAAATGTTTTCAAAGTGCTTCTAAATTATAGGCTTGAAAGGAGATCTCATAAGTCCCCCCCAATGGTGATGGCATCGAGTTAAGAGGTGAAAGAAGGGTAAATCTAAATTGGCGAATATAGGTAATCTAAAAGAAACTGAGAAACTAATGAAGTAAAAGATAACAATAAAGTGCATAGGCTAAGCATATGAAATACTATTACATGATAATGGAATAAGTTCTCACACCTTGAAACATAGATGCTTTGATATGGTCTACAATTAAATCATAAGTTTCACAAAAGTTTTATAGAGAAATCAAGTTTAACAGACAACTACATAAACCTGACGGTTTGATCTTGCAGCAACATGCTCGATTTATTGAATTAATTAAAATTTATAATTTTGGCATGCAAGTTGATGTAGTACATTTGGGGCTTGGGCCAGGCCTAACAATTTTTTGTCCAATGGGGCATGGGCCTAATACAGCAAACCCAATCCCGTTTTTGTAGGCTTGATAACTTGCCTTACCTGGCCTAATAATGGATCAGGCTTGCCCACCGGCTAATGGGTCTAAAAATATTTTTACATTAAAAAACAGAACTTCATAAAACCATTAGTTATATAAAACCATTCAAAATACATAATTAGCTTTCCAACTTAAAATAATACGTAAAAACAGAACAATGTATATAACTTAAAGATTTTGGGACTATGAGTCATGAAGAGTCAAGACCTAAATTTGAGACGTACTATATGGCATATTATATATAGTATATATTTGGGTGGCAGTCGGTATGGAGGAGTCTGGCTCATAGCCAACCAAGTGGGATTCTAAAATATTTTTAATAAAATAAGTAATAAAGTATCAATTTATATAAAATTCCATTAATTATAAAAAATATAAACGGGCCAGGCAGGCCTGTCCGGATTTCTATCCATCACTTGGGCCCGCCCATTAATTTTAACGGTCCAGCCCATGCTGGCCCATTTTTCCGAGAATGATTGTCCAAGTCCTCTTTTTCTAATGGGGCGGGTCTAGCGGGTCGAAATGTCCGTAAACGGTTCTATGATGTATCACCAGATTGACTTCCTATATCATTGATTGCTCAAAGGAGATCTGAGAAGACTAAGGGGCCGTTTACCAAACGCTTACCCGGGTAAGCGCTTACCAAGTAACATTTCCTCACCGGCTGAATATGGTAAGAACCAAGAATCTTACCCAGTAGAAACGAGACAAAGACCAAGAGTCTTATCCGGTATGTGAGGGCGACAACTCTTACCATGGTAAGCACTTACCGGGTAAATTGTTGCATACTATGTCGTTTTTATGAACTAAAATCTTACCCGGTAAGTAAATAATAGTGTTAAATTTTACCGGTAAGCACTTACTGGGTAAGTGTTTGGTAAACGACCCCTAACTAAAGTATCTTCCATCCAAGAGGGCAGGGTTCCCCACATATAAACAAGCACACATAGAGAAGATGATTTAAGAAACAAGCAGAAACTTCTTAAAGGCATAGTTTTACTGACTTTTACAGTCCACTAGAATAAGTCAAATTATTGGCTGTACCTGTAACACCGTGTTCAGCTCAAAATCGTCGTCCCAAGATTCTCCTTTGTCCAGCTTATTGAAAACTACTGTCAAGAAATGCTGCAGTAGATCACCTGATTCCAACATATTACAAACCTTTCAATATTTCTTGAATATGATTGGAAATATACAATAATGTAGCACAGCTGTAAACAGGAAATACCAGAGCCTAATAAATATACATCCCTCAACACTCCTAACTCGTCCATCAATTTCCAGTCACATAGCAACTTTGACAATATCTGGTTGCCAATATGATCTACCTGAAGCATTAAAATATATAATTATTGATGTAAATACATGCATGTATCAAAGTGGCCGTTTAAGGTCTCTCAGTTTTATCAGATATACCTGCTTCTTGATGTAAAAAGTAAGGCATTCCCGCAGAATAACAACAGGAAGTGGAGTAGATTTGGGTTCAACGGTTTGAATCCAGCCAAGGACTTTGGATAGAAGAGTGCTATTTTTCTGAAATGGTAAAAGCTCCGACATAATAAGGTCCTCCTGTTTCATATTACATACATGTTCCACAACCATCAGATTTCTACATTAAAAAAGTAAAAGAAGGCAATTAGTAGACTAAAATTGTACCTTAAAGGATGGAAGAATAGTGGGAAATAGAAATAATGCTTCCACCTCCTTTATGTCATGTTGAGCGCGAACCTTTTCAGAACTGCCAAATGGAAAACCACAGGCATAATTTGTTCCTTTATCTGTCATTAGTTCTTTACTTTTTCCACCAAATATAGCTTTTCTCAATTCCTCGTCATTCAGGGGAGGAAGAATATAGTTTTTGGATAAGTTTAATGAATTCCAGTCACCTCCATTTGCTTGAAGAACCTTTTGGCACACAGTGATAGTGGGATTTTCAGGACAGAAGGAGCTAACAAGGGGCTCAAATGAAACACCTAATTCTACACTCTCTTCGTTCATATCAACTAAATGATTGACATCCTCGCTCTCTCTTTTTGCCGGCAGTGCATCAACCAAAAACTTATACCAAATCTTCTCCAAGCATGATACCCCTTGAATGCTCTTATTATTACCTTCTAATTTCTCTGTTCCCGCATAAGATTCAATTGCAGAGACAAAATCACCATTTTGCCAAAAGTATTCAGACATGTGATCACCATGACCGATAAGAGCAGTTAATGACAAGCAAAATATCTCCGACAAGCTTAGCTGAGTCATGCACTGTTCATTCTCATAATGTTTACCAAGTAGCGCTAACGATGTGATAGGAACATGTTGAATCAACTGCAACGACTTTCCAGCCGAAATTATTTCTTTTGCAATGTCCTTGAAGAACAAAGGACAAACCACAAGATCCCTTTCATTTTGCCCCTTTGTTTTTGATGCAGCTGTCGCTCCTCTTCCTGGCATCTTTTTCTGTGTTAAGGGAAATTGATTAGTGATATGAGCCACACCCAGTTTCTTATACTGCACTGCTCTTAAGAGGTAACTCTTCTCCCAGAACTCAGCCTCGTCAATCGCGATCGCTTTGTTGGCAAAAAAGAACATCTGCACAAGATGACAGTATTTCAAATAATACTCTTAAACTTCCAAAAGGCAATCATTTTTCCCCATGAGGATTTCATGGTCAATGTACTGCTCCCAAATACACTCTAATCAATGATCAAGATATTTTAATGATTTCCAATGATAATAGACAGTTGTGTTGTATGTCAACTAGAGATGGTTGGCATCATGTAGCTTACAGATTACAAATCTTTTTTTTTTTTTTGGAACATAGAGTAAAATGTTCCTCCTGGATTTCATGGTTAGAGGATAACGCATGCACCAGAATTCATTAGAATAAGAGTTTTGATACTATCAAACAAAAATATAGACCAGGTATAAGCAGGTTGGGGATGAAATCAATTGGAATTGCATATAACTTCCCAGCAGTAAAGAACGAAGATTACCTCTTCAAATGGATCATCCAGTATACCCTCAAATATCCAGGAATCAAGAACCTCAATATATGGCAATAAACATCCAACAAAAACATAAAGAAGCATCCTGTACGAATCTTCCTGAAAATAGTAGCAAATGTAACCTAAATCAGATGAAACAAGACAAACAGGAAGTGTGTACAAAATGACCGGGAAAGCGTCAACACCTCGCCACCTTGCACAAGGCAAGCATCATTAAGCTTCTCATAAAGATAGTTGAGAATGTGCACGGCCATTTCAGCAGATGAGACAGGAGTCTTGCCTTCAAGGTACTCTTTGGGAATGGCACCATATACTATCTGCAATAAGTATTCAGCTCCAGCACAAAGGCTAGCCATAAAGTTGTCATTAGACTTGTAATGAAGCAATAGCAATAGGATTGAGTAATAAATTCTCCTTTCCCAAACACAACACTGATAACATAATTTCAGAAACCATCACCACGATTTAATATAGTACTTATGACTCATGAATGAGTTCCGTAGACATATACATGACGGCATCAAAGATGTAATAACAGTCCAGAAGGAAGCTGGTCTTATGTTTCTGCATCAAGTGGCTGTAAGGCAAAAAAGGCAGATTGTGCTCTTGTGGGATATTCATGACAAAAGTCCACACATCCATGCCAATATCTGCCACATATGTGCAAATGCAAGTCGTAACAAAATGCAGTTTCCAATCCAAATGTTCTAACATTGAGAGGAATGTTATGCATGGAAATAAATAGTTACAATTGGGTAGAAGCTCACATGTATTAAAAGGTAAACTAGGTTGGCTCGAATAATAACTTCTGACCTAAATTTCATGCTCCACCAAACACGTCTTGTGGCAGACACTGGCTCTACCTCCAATGGATGTTGATAACATTATAATCATTTCTGTGTAGCATGCCCATTACAAAGATATTCACCATAAATGATGTACACCCTTCTCAACTATCTTTACATACCTTGTTAAAGAACTTGTCAATCCCAAAATGGTTGGAACAGTACCAGTGGCAGAGTTGTTCATCTTTACTTCCTCTGTCAAAGCAATATTGCGTAACTTCTGCTCCAAACAAAAATCAGTTGTTGACAAGGATGATGCATAAAATACAGGCGCATAAAAGTGAAGTCAATTCCTCAAATTGTGCAATTACTTACTCTAAGCCAAGCAGAAGCCGAGCAAGCAAATGCTCTCAAGGTAGGTGGAGCCGATCTCACAGACGCCTCCTCTATCTTACCTAGCGTTATCTCAACCAATTTTAAGCATGTTGCTGAGTACATAAATTGATCTAAAACCATACGAAGACTGGTCTGAGAGAGGTGAGTTACATATAACCCCATTCTCGCACGATAACCCTTTCCGATCTGGTCCCAATAAAACAAAGAGCTTGAAAAGCCTTGAAGTGTCTGCAACACACCTCGCACCTAAAACCCAAAAAAGTGCATAATTAACAACATCAACAATGACAGTACTGAATGTGCAAACAAAATAGAAATTAGACATACCAAATCAAATTCGTTTGTACGCGAAGAGGGTAAGGGAGATGCGAAATGTAAGCCAGTAGTAAATTCATCGTTGATCTTGTCGATGAAACTTTTAGAAATTTCCATTATTTCAGTCTAAGGGCAACAAGATAATAACAAAAATCCTAACTTGTGACCTGGTTGTGAATGGAAATAGATCGCCGACAATTCATAGATGTTTCCGGCTGCCGGCTGTTGGCGGGGATTGGCATAGACGTAGGAGAAAGTTAGAACTTAGAAGCGCGAAGAAATTGGAAACCCGAAATAAGAACCATGCCCGAAGCCTCTTTACCCAATACCCAGTAGGCCAGTAGGTTTGGTAGGTCTGGTGGATTATATTATGACCCGACCCAACCTGACTGGTCCCAAATATTTTCCTTTCTTATATAAATCTTTAAACCAAACCAAACCAAATAAATCAATATATCTCGTGGGTTAGGTTTCGGTGATAAGCGTAATAAGTGATCTCCCTCTTGAATGCACAAGATGTATTGAAATGCATCAGATCAATCCTCGAATCAAACATTGTTTGATTCATAAGTGGATTTAACATTAAAAGTAATCAAATGTTCTATTTTTTATTCTTAAATAAATCTTAAAACCAAATCAAATACGTCCAATCTATCTCATATCTCAAATAATAGAGTGAATGGTCAAAGACGAATGGTCAGTTAATTAGGTTTTTTTGTCTTGATCGAGTAAAAACTATGTAAAGGAAGGATATTGGTGGTACGTGTAAGTTTTGTCCGTGTTCATCCAGGCACAATCAAACGTGAGGAGGCATTCGTCAATGTTATTCGGTGTCCGAATATAAAGAAAGACATAGCCAATATGTCGCAGGGCTTGCCTACAAAGGAATGCAAGTGCTGTGTAAATATTCGTGTGATGGGAATGTGCTCCAATGTGGTTTTGTATATTATATATTTCCAACCGTTGGCTTGCCATCTTTCTTTGATAAAATTGTTAAACTATTTTAAGAGAATTCTAATAGAGCTTTGGTCTAATCCTCGCTTTTCAAAATTAAACCATTTTCAGGAAAGCATCAGTAACTCGAAAGGATAGGGAAAGATGTGAGCCTTGTGGGGTCGGCTAGTTGATTTAGTTTCATTGTCTTTAGTAATAAATCAAATTAGGTTTGTTCACAAAGTCAACGCTGCAAACCACACCAAAAATATGGAAGTATGGTGCGATGCAATTTTTGCAGGTTGCATCTAATACAACTTTGCATTACAATCCATACAATTAAATTTGCATAATGAGCCGTATTTTATTCATAATAAAAAGTTAAATAACAAAGACGTAAAATCTTGAATGAAGGTTGTGTTTCACGATTTATGATCGCAAAAGGATAAAGGCTTAGATTCAAGACCATATGCTTACTTTGGGTTTGGAAGTTGGGTGGTGTAATTATCAACTATCAAGCTTGTTGGTCTGTCTATATATTATAGAATGAGAAATAAATGTGGGGAGTTTATTTTGTATATAAGAATATCTAGTAAAAATTTGTTTTGAAACCGCAGTATGACAAGTCAAAACTGCAAATTGGTATGCATAGTGAGGTAATTTAAAATACAAACAGCAGTAAATCAAGGGAATGAGTTAGAATAAAATTCAAATAACTAAAGAAGCCAACCTTTTGGGTTTTGATAGTTGAATTGAATAGGCATTTGGGGAAGAATATGGATAAGAAAACAATCTTCAACTACCAACAAAACCCTGTTTGGATCAACATCCACACCTAGTCTTGTTTAAGAATGACATTGGACTTGGATGGGATGCACCAAATATATAAGTGTTGAAATCATTTAAAAGAAAGATGACTTCATCATCATCATCATCATCATCATCATCATCATATCCAATGCATCTATGATCTATCTCGCAACTAAAAACCACCAAAACATTAGTAGAGAGTACATGGATTTATATACTCGAATAGAATACTACCAACAAAGTTTTCACACAATCAAGAACGAGGGCCTTTCAGCAGACTTGTTTTCCAGTAAAGTCAAGGGGATCTTGTTTTCCAAGGAACTGAATGGGAGCTTGTTTTCCAGAGAGCTGAATGGGATATGATTTAAGTCAACTTTCTTTGCTGAACGTAGGCAAGCTAGGTGCTGACTTCTCTTTTGGCCATTATTGCTGCATGTTGGAAGTTTGCTTGCCAGCACCCATGCCTCCTCCTCTTTTGCCACTGGTGTGCCTGTTGGATCCTGCATATCCTTATGTTTTAAAAGTAAGTTAAAATAGAAACTAAGCTAAGATGTGGATGATAAAAAGAACACACACACACATACCCCCCCAAGTGCAAGAAAGGTGAAAGCTTGATTATCAGCAGCAAGATAGATTTCAATCAGCTTCCTCAGGTCTGCAAGGGTTGCATCTTTTACAAGCCTCAGAGTTGTAATTACTTTCCCACCATTTTCAATTGAAGCAGCCTCCCACTTCACAACCACTTCCACCAATTCACTCTTATCATTTGAACTTCTCAAGGGGCTGCAGTTCTCCTTTGAATTAGAATCACACACAACTTGGGCCATCTGCTTGTTTTCAGGCTTATCTACAGCTGGACTTTCAGTAGTCAATGGAGTGGCCGTGTGTTGAGAAAGCTCTCTGTAATTTCCACAAAGAGTAAATATATTTTGGATGCGTAAATGCCTAGATGAGGTTGTATCTTGGCCACACTCAGCATCTAGAGAGGGTGTTAAAGAATCAATATCAAAGTTGAAGTCATTGTTGGGACTCTTGACTGAATACACCGTCTTTTCCTCTATTACTTCTTTCTGCACTTCGTCATCAACTGCCTTGTCTCTGTCTTCCTCCTCTTCGTCCTCTTCAAAGACAGTGCTCAAAAATGCTTTACTTGTTGAATTTGGGACAAAAACATCATCATATTCTTCATTCTTCAAGTTGTCCATAAAGGGATAGCCCAGAATGGCCTGTATACTAGACTTGTTAGTTTTGTGATCACGTTTACCCATGTCCATATCCAATGATTTATCCAAATCCATGGACTTCTCCATCCCTGGATCCTCATCAGCATATATACCCATCAGCCTTTTGGCAAAACTGCTTCCTTCCATAGACGATGAAACATTTCTATTTCCATTTTCATTGTCTTTTATGCATCTGGAACGAGTCAATTCAGACTCAATCTCCTCCAAGCGCCGCCTCAGCATTTCTAGTTCTTCCTGCTGTTGGGAAATCTTCTCTTCCATCTTCCTCCTCTCCATCTCAACAACCTGGTCAGCCATTTTCTGACACTCTTCTATCTTCTTCTCCAACTCGCTCCTCAACATGTTTGTTCGCTCATTAACCTTGATGTTAATCTCTTCCTCGCTTGTCCCTGCCAAAGCCTTCTTCTCTTCTGCCTCTTCAAGTTTAGCCCTCAGAGCTGCAATCTCTTCTTCTTTTTTCATAAGCTGTTTGTGAGCTTCAATCTTCTCCTTCTCTCTAATCTTATTCTCCACTTGTAGCTTGTAAATGAACTGATCCATAGCTGCAATCCGTGATCCTAAGATGACATCTGATGCAGAATCTTCTGCACCTTTGTCCTTGATTGGCGTATGAGGACCACGGACAATGCATTTGGCTTTTGCACCATATTCCAAAGTTGATATGGTCTTGTGCATTTCCTTGGGATCTGGGCTCGCACATAATATCATAAGAATCTTGGACTTGTCATCTTCGAAGGAATCCTGTTGAAAAGAAAGATGCATATAGACATTATAGAATTAGCTGATGATATCATGCATATATAGCATATGCCCCAAGAGAGGATTTACCTGCAAAAGCATAGTTAACTTGCTATCTCTGAATGGTACATGAGAATCACCATTGGCGATGGATTCTACGACCCTCTTCAATGCTATATTACCCTGATTAATCTTTCCCGTCTGCATGACAAGGGACAATTTATTTCTCCAGTGACTGGTAGGTTAATGTTTCATGATGAGTTAAAAAGGGAATGTGAAGTTGATAGTTACCTGCATTTTGGCTTCCAATCCAATTTGACCAGCTTGTTCTATATTTTCAGAACCAGCCATGTCGACAAGCATTAGCCGTCCGCCCACAGTTGGGACATCAAGAATTATCTGCATAAATTAAATTCAGTCAGTCATATTGGTAATCATAAGCAAAAGGAAAAGTTGTGAGAGTGTCAAACCATGCAGTGACTCCTAGAGCTTCTTTCATTGCAAAATGTGCTTTTAACAATTCTACGCTTCTCAACCTTTTGGATCTCTTTTGATATCTTCCCTGCTTCAGTTCCAGAGATGAAAGTGGCATTCTTTGCCTTTTTCCCCATAACTTCTAATTTCACCTAGAATTTAAGACAGACAGACAGACACACACAGAGTTCATATGGTAAATGACAAGTGTTGTTTTGTTTATCTCCCTATATTGCACAAGAGAATTGTAAATTGAATAAGCCTGATTTCAAGGAATGATAGATCTGAAAGAATGCAACAAAATCAATTGGTATTTTTAAGTAGAGCAAATCGTCAACTACTCGTAGGCTGATTAGCCGAGGAACATTCTTCAAGAATGAACCAACTCTCATTAACTAATATAAATGGGTACTGATAAAATATCTGTGGATATAATGGGTATTAAGGAAGGAAGGAATTTTGTACCTTGGAAGCATTGGGTCTGGACCAGCCAATGCTGAATCCAGAAGCATTACTAGTGTTGGTGGATAAGAGATCATAAATTTCCTCGTTGTAGATCTCCAGAACACTGACTTGGACGAATGTACCAACTCCCACCTTCTGTTCATCCTCTCCATTTCCCAAAATATCCCTTAAAGACTTGTACACAATCCCTTGCTGCTTAGCACACCCAAACATAGTATGACTCTTTCCTGAACCAGTCGGCCCATACATCATTATGGTACATTTATCCCCCAATTTCACACCGTTAATTCTTGATTGAACGAAATTCTTATAGAAACCGTCAAGATCTTCATCTTCAGATAACGAAATCCCATCCAAGGTGAAATCTCGATATCCAATTTCAGTTCTCAGCCTAACAGAATGTGCGTCAGAGTTAACCTGCAGAACCGAAATAGGTTTGTCTTTACGGTCAGGGTAGTCGCGAATCCGGCCAATAACTTCAACAGGGTGATCAGCAGGTTGATGGAGGGCGGCAGAATTAGGGTTGGGAGAGGGTTTTGTGGAGTTAGAGAAATTGAGGCGATGTTTAGATTGGGGTGTTTTCATATGGGTTTTTGAGGAAGGTGTGAGCAAACCAGCTTGGTTTGATTTAGCACAAGGCGTAGGAGCCATCGGAGAAGACTGTATTTTGTTTTGTTTTGTTTTTTTTTTCTTGAGAAAGAATGAAAGAAGTCTGCAATGGGGTGAGAGAGATGGATGGATGGATGAGTGGAAATGGAGAGAGAATTGAAAGGAGAAAAAGGAAAGGGAATTTTAGATTTAAAATTGAAATATAGCCGTTACAGACTCTTTGTAACGGCCATTTTTATCAGCTCAAAATTAAAAACCCACGCGCGCCTATATATAAAAAAAAAAAAAAAAACCCTTTTTTTCTTTTTTCTTTTCTGAAGCTGGACCAATTTCTTGTTAAATAAACAAACAGCTCCGTGATTGATTGTATATGAAACGTACAAGTCACAGAAAACCTATGGAATTTGTTACTTCAAATTATAAAATAACATAAATTAAGAATCAACCAAATAAATATTTGTATCTACCCAAGATTAACACTTTCCATGAGACTCCATTAAATTGTTTTTGACATTGAGAAAACTTGATCTTTGATATATTAATGTTTTTGGATCGAATGAAATCTGTTAAAAGAATTTGATCTTGAATAAATTGGAATTGAATGTTGTCATATTTAACCACATCTTTGGTTGACAGACATCGATATGAAATCTGTTTGTTTGGTTCACATAATGTAACTTTTTGTAATTGGAATGAAATATTGGTAAATGACCAAAATGTTTTTTTTTTAATTTTAATTTTTTTAAAACTAAAAATAATTTAATAAAATAATTATTTAATATGTAAAACAATATAAAATACACAACCCACATATAACCATAAGCCAAACGACGTTACAAAATCAACGGTGGTCGGTCGGGGTTCAGATCGATGGTGGTCCACAGTGGTTTAGATTGGTGGTGGTCGGCAGTGGTTCAGATCGATGGTGGTTCGGATGGAGGTGGTCAACGGTGGTTCAGATCGGCGGTGGCGGCGGTGGTTCAGATTAGTAGTTGTTTAGGTCAGTGATGGTCGGCTCGGCGGTGGTTCAAATCGGCGGTGGCCGACGATGATTCAGATTGCTGGTAGTTAGCGGTGGTTCAGATCAATGGTGGTCCGTGGTGGTTCAGATGTCGATGTTCGATAGTGGTTCAGATCGATGGTGGTCCATGGTGGTTCAAATGGCGGTGATCGGTTGGTTCAGATTAAAGGTGGATCAGATTCGTGGTGGTTCATACCGGCGGTGGCCGGCAATGGTTTAGATGACGATGGTCTGTGATGGTTTAGATGACAATGGTCTGCGGTTGTTCAGATGACAATGGTCTAAGGTGGTTCCATGGCGGTGATTCAGATCGAATATGGTCGACGATGGTCATATTGGGTTTTATGAGATTAGAGTATATTAATTTAAGGGAATATTTGTATTTTGAAAATAAAAAATTTCATTCCATCAAAATGACATGTAGTTGCTAAGGAATGTTTAATTTCTTTATTTGTAGGATTTTGAAGATTCATTTCGTGAAAATTACGAGGAAATGAAATTTGGTAAATGAAATTAACATTCCAATTCCATCATATTTTTTCAGAATTTGCGACCCAAACACCCCTAGATAAAATTATATAAATTACCAAAATTGTAGAAATTGCTTTTAAATTTAGAAATTACACCAAAGTTTCAATCGTTTCCTTATATGCCCAACATATAAGGATTATTTGGACATTTTACTATTAATTAAATATATTTTAATTACTTATTTTTCCTTTCAGTCTCATTTCCTTTTTCTTAATCTTTCCTCTTTTAATTTTTCTTTTCGGTATGCTAGAGAAACCAAAAACATCTTCCATTACAAATCATTAAACAACAACATTAAATAAAATAGAAGTCGCCTCACGTTTAACGCACCATTAGGTTGGGATGAAATGAGATTAAGTGAAACAATACACGTTCGTTCGATTCAGTTCAATTCGTGGCAATCCAACATGATTTAGTGGGTTTCAACAACTTGTACGATGCACGCTCGTTTCATTCAGCCCCGAAAAAGTACGACCCAAAATGAGTTTTTTGGTGCAAGACTATTTTTTTTTTGAACATCGAAAAGGCAATTTATTAAAAAAGAGGGAAGCCTAGCGAGGAGCTAGTTACAAACAAAGTACATGGCATCAACCGGGTTACGAGTCCAACTCTCCCAACTAAAAGACTTGCTAATCCTCGCTCTACATCTAATCCACTCATACGCAGTGAATTGAATATCACTACAAGCTTTCTTTTCAGACTTGTTTTTGCCCCGAAACATCTTGTGATTCCTTTGAGTCCAGACGGTCCAAAAATAAGCTGTCATAATCACCTTGCCCACCTCTCTTCTGCAACTATCTCCATACTCGCAGACCACTGACCACATGTCCCGAACCGAATTCTCAGTCGCCGGCCACCAATTCACCCGGGAAGCCAGATGCGCGTTAATGACTTTTGCCGTAGAACAAGTTGCAAAGACATGATTCATGTTCTCCATCGTTACCAAGCACATCGGGCACTCATCAGAGCTGCAAGCCACTCCCCGTTCCAAGGGATTGTTGAGCGTTCTCCATAAGTGGATATTAGCTTTGCTGGGTATCCACTTAAGTCATTCAGTTTCCTATTCCATAGAAGGAAGCATAACACAGTCAATCAATCTCCTAAGAGATCTAACAGAGAATATATTGTTTGCCTCCAACAACCAAGACCATCCGCTCCTATCCGGCGTGTTGATCATAAGACTATTGATGTTGATCCCGATATCGCCCAGGTCCTTGTCGATGCTTTTGATATTGCTCCAAACAGTTCTTGTTGATCATAAGACTATTGATGGTGCAAGACTATTTATTAATGTTGTAAAGGGCGCAAAGAGTGTTTCGTGGCAAAATTCCAAGGGATTCGCTAACTATAGTCTAGGCGCATTGGCCAAATGGAAAATGTCGGCCGGAAAACAAGTTCTTTTTTATTTAAATAACTTTTGTTCATGCTAGAAAGAGCTTGTGGGAAGTTTTGTGGCAATCCAATATAATTTGAGCGGATTTCAGCAACTTGTATGAAAACGAGTTTTTTTTTGGGTTAAAAACCAAACCATTTATTATTGTTGGTGAGGCTTAATGCAAAGTTTCGGGGCAATCCTATCCGAGACGGTTGGTCCGGATGAGAAAATTGTACTAGATTCGTTAAATATATATAGCATAGGCACCTTGGCCTTAACTAGTTTAGAAAATGGAGCTGTTGTGCAAATTAGTTATTGTGAAGGGCATAGTTTGAAAGTTTAGAAGCCTTCATATGTTTCTCTTTCTTTCCAGAACAAAAGTTCAAGGAGTATGTGGGTGTTTGACCTCTGGGAGAGCGATCAAAAAAGAAAAGGATCCTTGAAGAGTTTAACTTGAACTTTCGATTCTTGATGTTGGTACAAGTATTTGGGTCTTGCTACTGACTGATTCTTATGGAATTCGATTCTTGATGATAAAGTATTAAGTTTACTTTAAATTTGGTCCCATCTTAATCACTTTTCTGTTGTGGATAAATGGTTAACTTTTATGAATTTGGATTTATTGGAATTTTGTATGTTAAATCATGTTTGGGAAGTTTTTTGGATCACAAAAGCTGATATGTGGTAGCTTTAATTTGTACAACCGCAGTTGGATGGAGTTTTGGTCAAAATCCCTGTACGATTTTCGTGTAGGTCAAAGTCACTACTTTATGATTTTTGGTTCATATTGTTGAATGGTCTTTTGGTGTATCATTAAAGATCAGGGTGTTTACCCAATCTTGAGTACAAGGTTTTCTGTGCAAGAATTTTTGTATTTAATTATTCAGCTAAATGCTGTCTTTATATCTTCAGCTAAATGCTATATTTATGTGATTTAAATTTTTACCATATCTTTCTCAAGGTTGTTTGCACCTTATATCGTTTGCTAAAGTTTTTTTTTTTTTCTTTCTTTTTGGCTAAGTCTAATGTTTCTTTTCTTATTTAACAAAACTAGGAATATGATATGGTGATTGGGGACGTGACTACCGGGGTAAACAAATCGAACTATGTCGACTTCACATTGCCATATACAGAGTCGGGAGTCTCGATGATTGTTCCGATCAAAGTTGATGACATGAAGAGTATATGGATATTTATGAAACCCCTAGAAAATGGCCTGTGGTTAACAACATTTGTTTTCTTTATATATACTGTAGTTGTGGTTTGGATTCTTGAGCATCGTGTAAACAAAGAATTCTATGGCCGACCGTATAAACAATTAACCATTAGATGAACTTCAACTTTATTTTTCCATTCGATATTGTTAATACATCATATTAACTTTAAACTTTATATATTAGTTAACTTGCAAAATAATGTTTCAGAATTGTGATTCACCCGTGCTGTGTCGCACGGGTACACCACTATTTATAATATATATATATATATATGCAGCTGAATTATGGATGAAATAAATATATAATATATTTTTTAGAGAAATAATTAATTTTTTAAAAGTGTAACTAAGATAATTTTTAGAGAAGATTTTGAGTTTGTGCATCTAAATATCATATTTAAATAAGATTTTGTAATCGTAACTAATTAGGACTTTTAGAAAAGGTTTTCTAAAAGTGTCACTAAAACCAATATCTTTAGAGATGGTTTTTCATTATATTATCTAAAAGTATCTTTTAGTAACTCTTACAAACTGTCACAAATACTTGAAAAACGTCACTAATATATACTTTTAGAGAAGCTTTAAATAAAAAGTTGACTAACCTCTAGAGAAGCTTTTAAAGCGTATCTAAAGCCTCAAAAAACCGTCTCTAGAAGTTAACAAATACACACCCTGTCAAATCCCTCTCAAAAGCCTTTACCTACCCTTATATAAAGAAGTTCTTTGACGGAATTGAAAATTTTCTCTAAAGCCTTTACATAAGCTTTTGAAACTTTTAAGTACAAAATAAAAGTTTATCCGAAGGTCATTTTTCTTGTAGTGTGATAATCGAAAACCAATAATCACTTCTATAATCATGGCTCTGCCTGTTCACTACGTGATTTTGTTGTGATAATAATGCGATAATTATTTGATATCGACGAGTATATTATTTGTATGTTATTTTAGAGATAATGATGTCACCAAGATTACAACTAAATACAAACTCATACGTAATTTTTGGAGGTCTATTAATGTTCTCGCATTCTCGTAAAACAACGGTGTTCTCGTTTGAACCCAACCTTATATAATGAACCTCCACCTATATATATATATATATATATATATATATATATATGATATGAGAGTTACAACTTACAAATATTATATTAATTGGATGGATATAGTTGTGTAGATTAAGAGCTTTATACCTTAATTTGTAACTGTTCTTGTAAAATTACTTCTTAATATATAATTATAAACACATTTTTCATATGATATCAGAGTAAAAGAGTTAGTTTGACACGTTTTTCTTCTACATTTTTTTACTCCCCTCTCCTTCTTTTCCTTCTAAAATGGTATCTTTCCTACTCCAACTCCTACCTTACCCCCTCGTTCATTTCTTGGACGTTGTCCAATGCTGATTAATGTTCCACCAACAATTTTCTAATGTAATTTAAATAATTAAGTTAGGTATATAAATTTAAATTTCATTATTTCTGTATAAAGATTATAAAGTTTTTAATTTATATATATATATTTTTTAAATATTGTTGATTTGACTTGCATCGGTATAAATTTTGAATGTATATAGTTATTTTTATATTGTAAGCAAGTAACTTATACCTAGTTTAATCATAGAAATTAAGGGAGAAATATATAGTTTATATAATGATAACCCCTGTGATTTACAAAAATAAGAAAACAAGTTTAAGAGCAAATGAGGGATTTTTAAATTTTAAATTAAAAATATTAAAGACGTGGAAGAGTAAAATTAGAATTAGAAGCAGGACACGATTAGTGCAGACTGTTCGGCCCGAGTCCCTTGATCACGTTTGACTATCACATTTGTGATGTACATATGATTATCACATTTATGATATCGATATGATTATCACATTTGTGATACCGATAATTGATTATCAGTAAGATTAGAGTAAACATGTTGGCATTCTATATCATACGGTTAACATAGACTGTTTGGCCTTCCCTTCATTATCACACGATAAGTTTAACTCGAGTTCCTTGTATGATCATGTCTGACTATCACACGATTATCACAGTCTGTATCACAGATTAGACGATCGCGAGCATAAGTTGAATCACACTATTATCACATATTGTATCACATAGGTCGTATAACACGATTATCACATATTGTGTCACACTGGTTGTATCAAACAAATTAATTGTTTCTCACACATTTATCACATATTGTACCATATGATTAGGCAAACTCGAGTAGACATTCACTTGATTGTGCATCAAACGTTTATCACAAAGCTTCTGAAACTGAGTTATTTGGCGATTCATATATATGTAACACAATCTGATATTAGAATCTGTTTGAAAATTAGGAGATAATTACAATTAATTAAGACTAGAAGCGTACTCGCGCAATGCAGCGAGATACATCATGAATTTAATATTTCATTTTATTCTTTATCTCAGTCGATG